CAAATATATTACCACAAAATTAAACTAAACATCACAAAAAAGTTCAAAAAAAAGGGGAAAAAAATTAAGGAAAAGAAAAGAAATGGATATCTCTAATGTTTACTCATTTGTTTAATACTCCTTCTGTCACGCCAAGGGGAAAAAATCAAGTCATAAAATACTTACTTAATAATAAAAACACTCTAATTTTCGGGATGGAAGAGTTATTATTATAAAATACGGGTTAGAAATTCAGAGAAAAGAAATTGTGGATACAATTGAAATAGTCCTTCATGAAAACGCAATAGTGCATTTTCTTAAACTGTGACAATTCTTTTAATAAGTGGATACCTTTCATAGTTAATTATAACTCATTGCGGGACGATACATGAAAGCATCGACGGTGAATTCGAAAGAACCCTCATTTTAAGATAAGAATAATAATTGATATATGATGAGGTGAAATTAAAACAAAAACTTTTATTTTGAGTTGGAATAAGTATAAACAAAAATAGGGAGTGTATTTTGAAAGGCTCAAATATAAGCTCACATGTGGTTCCACCTCAAAATCAATTGGTGATGAGGAGAGTAGCACATGGGATATATATATTGAGTTCAAGTGTTTCCTTCCATCCATGTGGGACAAGGAAACATGAGGCCATTTTTTTTCTTTCATTCATTTAACAGTGTACGTACATGTTCTTTCTTATCACCCATATTTTACTTTGCCGACTTTTTTTTTTTTTTCCTGCTTATATGAAAACTTTTTCATCTAAGTGGTAAAATGCTGTAAACAGTTCAGCTAATAGTTTTTTTTTTTTTTTTTGACATTGTTCATCAAATAGTTGAAGTTGAGGGTTCTACGGCCACCAACTAAACCCCATTGCCAACTAATATATCAGCTCCTTGACGGAAAAATGGACAACAAGAAATTAAAATAAAAAGAAGAAAAAAAATGACTCTAAATCCACTGACCTATTCCAAATGAAAAGATATCTCCCTTTCCAATTCAAACGGAAAAATAAAAAACAAAAGTTATCTAATCGCTGTAGCTAACCTAGCTATGATGTGTACTTTTGTTGATTTTTAGAAAACTTGAGAATCAAAAAATAAAATAGGTTAGCAAGTGGGAGATTGAAAAAAAAAATTATTATATCTAAAAAGAATCAGAAAAATTAAAGATAAAGAGCTTTGTTAGCTTAGGGTAAAAGGTACATCGACTGATTAATCAATTATACCAAATACGTAATTAATTATAATTACTAGGGTAAAGATTCTCTTTGCAACTTGGTTACATGCAATTATGTGCTACATACGCTTTATCTATTTTTTTTATGTCATATTAATATTATCCCTTTTCGATTTGTTGAATAGTGCAAGAAAACAAAACTGACATAACAGAACAATTTCTGTGGAGAGATTCTATATTCTATTGTGCCACATATCATGAAATTTTTCAACGGGGTTTTCTCACATATGACGACGTTACATTTTTGTTACAACTCCGCGCCCTTGTTTAATAGTCCAGTTTGTCAAAATTAAAATAATATATAATAAAACGACCTATTAAGATATTTATAATAGATAGAGTATATAATAATATCATGTCTGAATTTTCGTTTAATCAAAGTAGACCATTCCCCTGATTTGCCCTTTCAAATGCTGAATTTGAAGAATTCGGATATACTTTACACCAACAATCGTATGATGTGCATGTGATTTCATTATCAAATCTAGAAATTTAAAAACAATCATACTGTTTCTTTGCATCAAGTGGTTAACTCAAAAAATATACTACTACTTCTGTCCCAAATAATACTAAATGTCAGATAGCTATATGTTCTACAGCGTGTTTTAGTTTTTTAAGAAGATGAGTTGAATCCGTGTTAAAACAGTAGGTAAATAATGCAGATTGATCAGAGGCCAAAAGGTCCACCTACAGATCATGGAAGAATATGTAAGTCAGAAGATGTAATATGGACAGGTATTTCCAGCAAAGAATGTCAATGGAAGAAAAAAAAGAATAGCAATTTTGCCAGTGGCTAAAATGAGACTGACCTAAAACGTTAATTATTTGGAAAAAAAAAATTAATGGGTCGTTTCCATTTTAATCCCAGTTTTTCTTAAATGTGTCATAAGCGTGATGTCTTCTAATTTTGCACCACAATTTTTTACTCATAGATCACGCGCGGTGGAGATGGAGGAAACACCAGAAACATTTTAGTAGTTTATTTGAATTTTCTGTTTCCTTGAATCAAACAAGTAATTGATCTTGAAGTTGATTAGCTAGTCTGAGATGGGTCGAATAACGTTAATGCTAAAATAGTTCCCCCCCCCCCTCCTTATGCAATGAAGGATGTTAGTTATAGGTTAAAAACCGAAATTATCACTTAATGGGAAGAAAAAGCGACAAAGACTGTCTACGTAAATGAAATAACGAATAACAAGAAAAATTTTACACTATTTACTTCCAACATACTGTGATTTCACTGACAACAACTCATTGAACAGCATTTTGATACCTTTAGTGACCCAAGATGTCCTCTAAACCTCGTGATACTCGTAATTCAACTACCTGAACAATGCTCTTCGGATCCATATGTAGTTCAATTAAAAACCGACTAAAGGGGTTCCAACTTGCCCGATAGAAACACCTCCAGAGCTATTTGTTGTTGGTTAATCATCATCAGTCGATTTATTTCCTATTTTCTCAGAGCGTAATTAAAAAACAACAGCTCAGTCGCTGTTCTAAATGTGGCAAAAACTAAATGAAAATGTCACACGTTTCCATTTTTGATATTTTTTTACTTCTTGTTGGCACAACTGGTACGGACAATAAATTAAAGAGAAAGCTACAAGAGTGTTGGAATGAGGACAGGCCTTTGATCGATATTGATAGTTATATCAATCTATCGGATCTTTTTGTTACTCCTTCCGTTTCATAATTATTGTCCAGTTTGATTTTCATTTCTAATTCAAATTGTACTAAAAGTGAAATTTTAAATTGGACAATAAATTTGGGACAGAGAGAGTAACTACTAACAAGAAGTTTTTTTTTTGGACTAAAAGGGGACCGCGGGTAAAAGAAATTTGCTTCTCGCGTGGTTAATTAACCAACCATTTAAGAGGTCTTGATAGTGTAGATTCATACTCGGGGATTTGCTTCCATTGATATCCTTAAAAATTATAAAATACCTTGTTATATTTGAAAAGTTTTTGTGACTAATTAATGTCTACTCGATTGTTTTATTCAAAAAAAAAAAAAGGTAACGAGTTTTACACTTTCTTCTCCACACTGCATATATATTTTCAAGATTTTATGCTTAATTATATTGACACCTTAATTTCCATTTCATATATTCCCTTCGTCCCGAAGTTATTATCCAGTTTAGATTTTTTTTTTTTGCTTTTAGTACAAATTAAATTAAAAATAAAAATCCAAACTATAACAATAATTTTGGAATCCATCATCATTTTCAAAATTCATTGTAATCTAATTTTTTTTTTATTTTTTAGACAAAAGACATATATTACTATAGCGGTATAGGGGAGGCCTATTATGGGGAGTAGCTCTAGTATCAGAGAAAATCCCCTAAAGCCTTTATTCTTAAGGACGACCTTGAATAAGAACCACAACCAAAAAAGGTGAAAAATTAACGTAAGATCAAAGAAGTGTCCAAATTATATGTCAGGTCTTAATCGAAGCCCCCCATCCCACTTTACATTAAATTTCAAGTTTGTCTCCCAGCGATTGTTAGATAGCCTTCGTGCTGTTGTTTTGAATAAACGTTTTATATCTTTTTTTATTATTAATTGATAACGCACACTGGAGTTGTATCAAATATGAGCACAAATTGTTGTTGCAAAATAAATTCCCGCAACTTCCTTCAACTTGAGCTTTTATTTCCTTCTTACTTTCTGAATACAATTTTCATTTTTTCGGATTCTTTAAATTTACAGAAATTAAATTCCAAACAGAACAATTATTTCAAAACGGAAGAGCACTTATTTAGTTCGGTAGGCTCTCATGTTATAACTAATAAAGAGAAATACATAAAATTGTTGTGATTAGTAGTTTCATTTGTTACAAATTCACAATGCTCTTTCTCACTCATTATGGCCTATGCACAACAGCACAAGTAGAAAAAGAAAATATGATTGTCGAGAAATCAAGGCGATACATGACGGACATTTTATTTGTTTAAACAAGATGAAATTCTTATTAACCAAGGGGATATTTTTTTTGCACCAGCAGCTCAGCTAGAAGAGCATAGGCAGGCAAACCATATCTTTCTTTCCCTTCTCTGCCATACATCTATCACGTAGCAGCAATATCATGTGTGGCCTGTCAGATGGTAACGAAAAACTACAAGTATTCATCTCTGAATGATGACCAACTTTCTGCACAAAAATCTGGCATTGTTGGCACCATTCAGAGGACCAAAATCAAAAGATCCAGAATACTTGAGAATGGAGCAATCCCTTTTCGCATTAATTGCAGCCCATCTATGGTAGGCAGTGCAGTTGAACCCAGGTTATACTAGTCAATATCTAATCACTGGTGAACTTGCAACCACATCCTCTCATGATTTCCATTTCCAGACCATTTATTGGGTTCTGAATGGCAACTATCTACTCTCATCAGGTGGTCAGAAAAAGGGATACAAACAACCTTAATTTGGTCACTACTCTCTAGCCAAAGCACAAGCATCCAATTATTACTTACTCACACAAAGAAGACTATACTAATGCTAAATGTTTCTATGGATAGAGTAATCCAATGTGGTCCTTTAACTCGGTACCCTTAACAGTTTTTTGTCTACAAATTTTTTAATTTCAAAAGTTTAGTTATTTTTCCAGAACAAGGATAAGCAAACACGAAGTTAACATCAAATCCTCAGTTTGCATCATGGGATGTACCCGGCTATGGCCAATGACTCATTGTCCTTCATTGGAACGATAATTGAAGTTAGGCGCGATTGCTATCATATTGTTTTCACAATGAGGGACGCAAATGAAGAGGGGTTTATTCTCTTTTCTCTGCTAACCTTTCCACCCTTTACAAACACGAGGTTATTAAGTTTCAAGCAATAAACCTGCTGCTAGAAGAGGATTTTTAGGACACAGACATCCAGAACATTAGACAAGGATAAAGGGTCTTCATGTTCATGAATTACTGCAAATAGCAGATAAGGTTCTGTCATCAACTTATGACATACAGAAATTTGACTCTAAGTAAAGACAATTACTACATATAGTTTCTCAAGAGAATCATTGACATTGTTGACATTTATGGAAAGAAGTATGCTTTTGTCTCAACTGAAATGTTAACTAATAAGAATACACTTTCCTCTATCTGACTTTCTGTTACTATGGTTTCTTGTATAACAATGTCTATGTCTCTAATGATTATCACGTTATCTCTTCTTCACTCACTTTTGAAATTCCTCAATTACATTTGAATAAATCAACTTGTGACAACACTGCCTAGAGTAATAGGGCTTTGCTTCTTCTTACCCCTTTCTCCTCTTATGGCTCAGCACAAAATCATCTTCATCGTCATCACTATCATCTCTTATCCATTTCTTCGCTTTTACATCACCGTTCTTTGATACCTGCTGTGGCTTCTTTGAGCTCTCTGGCTTACTACTTCTTGCTGGAGGTGGTGGAGATTTAATAGGTGTCCCTGTCCGAAGTTGTTTTTGCTTCCTTTGCTTTTTCTCAAAGGCCTTCTTTGCTCTTTCAGGGGACAACAGCCCATGTTCCATCATCCTACATTGTCAGTGCAATCAATATGTCAAATAAATAATAGTGGCAGAAAAGAACCAAGGTAGAAGAAGCAATGAAGATTCTGCAAATAAACCCACAAGAAGGAAATCTTCTCCTAGCAGTGCATGAACATGCATAACTGAAAAGGTAGGCCCGGCCTCTATTTTGACATCAATTGGGTTTTTGCTGCCATTAATGTGTTTTCTTGAAGGAACAGGTACCTATTCTGATGCTTATTTTGAATACAAAGTTTCCTATAATTTTCAGGAAGTACCAAAAAACACTACCCCGATTACATAACATACAATCTTATCAGTGTTATCAAACTGAAGTATTGAATTTCACTCACTCTAGTGAGTAGTCAAAACTTGAAATCAAGCGGAAGAAACATTGAGAAGGATTGAGAAGCAGAAGTACAAAATATGCAAAGGAAGTACAAAAATTATCACAAGGAAGCATTGAGAAGTAACATTAAAAGACTGCTAAGCAAGTATAGTTCATTGGCAGGGTATGGCTGTATGACTTTTCAGATTAATTTTCAGGGAGATGTTACCTTTTTGTAGTATTGCCCGCAGGCATCCAAATATTTTGTCTTAATAATGAATCCTTGTTTTGGCATTGTCATAGTTTTTGTTGTTGGATCAGGAAATCAAATCTCAAGGAGACAAAGTTGTCATACTCATCCAGAGAAACCGTAAATTATATCATACACAATCCATACAACAAAATAGAAATCATTGAACATGGGGTCGCATTTCCATGGATCTTTAGTTTATTCATTCACAAAATTTAAGGTTTCATTCACAAGCCATTTGATTTACAAAACATAGAACTTTATCACTGCCTGTGAAACACCCTATGTGGATCGTAGATCAATATTGTGTTTTGGAAAACACATCTTCTCTGCAATATCCACAAAATTTCATTTCCAATATTGTCTTTTCAACTCTGCCTGGATATTCCTTTTCCTTCCCCTTTCCCTTTTAGTTTGGAGCACATTAAGATCTCCTACATGAATGCACAAACTACCTCAAGTATGTTTCTCATCACCCATCTGCTTGGACTATCACCAGTCTTTTAGATGCCTTCATTACTAGAATTTGGCAATAAGAATTTCGCATAAATTGTCAGCATAATTAGGCAGCAAATAATTGAACGTACAAAAATTGCCCCTGTACAGAGAAAGCGAGGACGACAACCACAATCTCCTGTAGAATCTGGGACTTGTGGTTTATGTATAAGAAGAATGGATATCATTTAGTGAATTTTCACACCAACTTTGGTTTCTTTGTTCACTTTTTTTTAAATTTAGTAACTCCATACACTGATCCATAAAGTATCCAAAGTTATTTGGTTTTTTTTTTTTTGGTTTTTTTTTTTTCATCAAAGATTAGTACCTTATGATTTCCAAGCACGAAAGGGGTGCTTGTTCATTTGACGTAACTAGCCTACTCTTACTTAGATGATTACTATAATGGCATTCCATACATTTCGTGCCATTCCCATAACATGAATGAGAAATACTTGTGCCATAGCTATGGGGAAGTTGAATATTGGATGTAGAAATCAGTGGGGTAATCACCAGTTATATCCTTTCCTAGTCAGGTAAAAGATGCAGACTAGTACCAGGATACTAGAGGAGATAAAAGAAAAAAATAAACCATCAACATTTACTTCAGATTCTTTTGAAGCAGTAAAACAAGAAAACCTGATGGCAGTGCTGGTGGGAATTTTTATGTGAACCACTCTCTGCTAAAACCACATCATACATCACTCAGGGAAATCCAAGTTCATTAAACTCCATTTATTGATCTAATTGAGATACTCACATCCTGCTTAACACATTTGCAGGTGGCAGCAAGACCCCCAATTAAGTCAAGGCCAACGTAGCCATTTCTCAATAAGATGCAAAAGAGTCAGAGATCAGTAAGAAGAAATGCTCTAAATAGGAGACCTAGCAGTTAACGAGAGACATTTCACATAAAAATTGTGTATGGACAAGCATGAATGAGCTATACTCTATCTATGATAGGTTACTCGAACAGATCTATGCAATAAAAAGCAGGTATAAACATTTATAGCTGAAAAAGAGCCAAAATCTCATTTCATTTTTCTTCCTGAAGCACACATTCCTTGAGCACAAGCACGACAACGGGACTCCTGATTATGCAGTTCTTGTTAAGAACACCCTCACACATAAATAGCCTTCAAAACAATTGTCTAGGCACTACTAATTGAACCAAATCACCCAAAAAACACATTCTAAAGGCAAGAGAAGGTAAGAGGCACGAACAGAAGGAAACAAGAATTCGTGATGATACTACAAAATGATCTAACCATCAACAGAATTCAATTTTCTCATTATGGCATTAGATGTTTTGTAATAACATCTAACTCTGTGTTCTTTGTTCCCTACCCAAGCATATTACTCCATGACAGAGTGTAATATCATCTTCTATAGATGGAACGTATAACAGATTTAAGCCTCTCTGAGCAGGCCAATCGGAACTTTATCTTAGACAGACTTGCAGACAATCCAGCGCAAAAGAATCGAACATGTTGCCTAAGTTCAGGACAGATTATTCCCTTAACTCTCTCTTAGTATCCTGGTTTGCAATGGCAATTGCCAGATTAAATTCTATAATGATCATTGCATTGCTTTTTCATCTGTCTGGCACCAATTGAAGAATATTATCATGAGAAGAAAAAGCTGACAATTACAGAGTAATGACATATTTTGTGACAGACTCAATTCATCCAACACGATGTGGAACTAAGTTTCCCTTAACCAACACCACACTAACAGTATGAAAACCTGCAGTTGCTCAAAGTAGCTTACATTATCTGGCTACTATTTTCAGACAGAAAACATGAGACGGGGAGAAAGGAGGGAAAGAACTGATTGCTCTCAAATTTTACTCTTAAGATTAACAAAAAGATCCTTTTCCAACTGACTTCTTACTACTCATGTTGAACTTCTAATGATACAGACTCGTTTACTCAACCATACAACAGTAGCCAGAACTGCAAGATATGGTATACGATATTAATCAGTTTCTCTTTTCTAAGTTCTCCATATTTCTTATTTACAAAGAAAGAGAAAGAAAGGACATATGTAGATAAAAGTGAACGGATCTACTGCTACGATATTAATCAGTTTCTCTTTTCTAAGTTCTCCGTATTTCTTATTTACAAAGAAAGAGAAAGAAAGGACATATGTAGATAAAAGTGAAAGGATCTACTGCTGTGCAATGAATCTTGATCATTGTATTGTTCTCTCAGTAATTTTGCGAAGCGCAAGTCTCGTACAATGCCTTTTTTAGATTGGATGAGGTACATATGAATGATTAGCACCCAGGGTACCGGACTCATATTATTTATGGCTAATTTGCATATCGACATGCATAATCATTCAAACTAGCTAGCAAAACTTAAGCAAGCAGCATATTGCTTAGCACATATCCAGAAACACAATGCATCGGGTTCTTGTTTGCAGGATAAGAATTATGCGATACAAACAATCACTGATCTGATAAAACAACAGCTGTAAAGTAAAGAAAGAAAAACTAGCAAAAAAAACTGATCCACTTGTGACTCACCAGAACTCTGCCATTTCACTTGAAGGTATCTGCTTCGAAAGAGATTCATAGAATATCCTCAATGGCTCTCGCTGTTTACAGAAATCATCAATGTGAAGGTAGCCAAAGTATCAGTGCCAACTAAACTTCAGAAAGCATAGTTATTAAAATATGAAAAACTCGAACCTCCTCCGGAACATCATGTTTCTGGCCTGGCAGGGAATAAACCTTTTTCTCTCTGGTCCTTGTTACAATCTTCTTTTTCACAGTCTTTGATGAACTAGATGACGCTTTTGCTTTTACCTTCACAGGATCATTACACGACAAGGAAACTGATCAGAGCCAAACTCAACTTACCAAAGCAATAAATAAAGGTATATCTAAATCTCTACTAAACTGTTCTTTTTCTGTTTCTGAAAGTGTGATCACACGCAAGCTCATTCATCCGTGAACCAGAAAAGACCAATTTTTCGTGGATGCCCCTTATCCAGATTAATAAATAAGCCCAAACTGGATAGAGAGAAATCATAATTACTCCTGAAGTTTCAAATTTTCTACAATAGGCAACGTAATTGACTTAGCACATATCCCGAATATCTTTTCAAGCTAAACTAAATTCAGACGCAAATCACACACAAACTAATTACAAAAACAAAAACAAAAACAAAAAAAATCAACAGTGAAAACCATACGGACACAGGTAAACTGGAATGACTTGCAAAATCTGAAAGGTTCAATTTGGCAGCAGGAAATTACCCAATTTGGAAAACCCAGGTAGGAATCAAACTAAACATCAGTAAAAATCCTATCTTGACAACTGAAACCGACAGCTGAACAAGATCCAACTCAGATAGAAAAAGCATGATCTTTGCCCCAAAAAAAGAAAGAGAAAGGGTACCTCAGTTTTGGAGACAGTAGTTGAAACAGATTTTTGCTTAGCATCAACAGATTGCTTAGATGAGGAAGACTCAAAAACTTTCTTCTTGATGACAGATGAATCGACCTTGCCCTTTGATGATGGAACCGATGAGGAACCCGCTTGATTTCCACAACTGGGTCTTGGTTTCACAACATTAGATTTGGTCTCTGTGGCCATATTTAGTTATCGATGATTCCTTGGCGGCTTTTTTTGCCGGAAAAATTCCTTCTTGATGTTGTAATGCAAATGTCTCTGATATACTTTGTTTTTCCACACCTGTCATTGAAGATGCATCAGCTAATCTGTCTTCCTCTTTAACTGAAACATGGAAATTGTGAATTGTTCTTTTTGCGGGATTATTGAAAACTTTTAATTTTTGAATAAGATAAAAAAAAAATATTAAAAACTAGTAAAGTGGAATTCTTTCTCTCTCTTTTTTTTTTTGTTTTTTCTAATTTTTCATAGAAACTGTTTTAACTGCTTCTTTTCTACAAAGGACTATGGGTCCACTTGCAAGGCCTGTTTGGTTTTCTTTTTCTTTTCTTTTTCGCCTTAAAGACATGTTTTATTTTAATTTCTTGTAATTTTGTTTTTCTGCATTTTGTTAAGAGGTAGGAGTAACTAGCTATTCGTAATCTTCTCTCATCTCAATATTTTTCTTTAAATCTTTGAGAAATGTTAGGCCGATATTAAGACGTATACAATTGTAATTTTTAATAGAGTTAATTACTGATGCAATGTAAAGTGTAACATGTGATCAATTTCATCTTTTTTTTTCTATTAAATAGTCAAGCACCAATTCATCAACACAAGAAGTTGGACATGCAAGGCTGCAAGCTACTAGAAAAGCAAAGAGAATGAACGAGGGAGGATTTATCAGTCAGATAATGCAAAACTGTTAACCTATTTACATCAACTGATAACCTATTTACCCCAAAGATTCTTTATAGTCCTAAGCCTTAAAGAAAGCTGTTGAGAAGAAGGCATATATTTGGGACATAATCTCGTATCTCATACGTATCAGCTGGAGCCTAACTGGGAAATTCTAGTATGCCAAATGGAATGAAGTATCATATGGAAAATGTCATACTTTACTGGCTTAGAATGCCAAAGGAAATGTTGTTTTACTAACTTTACATTCCTTTGCATCTTCAAGTACTTATCCTCTGGAATCGACACAAGTATGTTTTTCAAATTCGGGATATCCTTTTCGGCAACAAATACCGCAAAGGATTCCCAATTTAATGTTTCGAAGAAAGGAGGAACAAAGTTGTCAGATATGATGACAGGAACACATTCATAAGAGATGGCCTCTACGACTCGCGGACTGTTAACTTCGTAACCTTTTGCACAGATGCAATACTTGCTATTCTTCATGTGGTCGATGTAGCTCATTTGACCCTTTGCCCCTTGCACTGGCATCTGGCCAAATATTTTCATATCCGGGTCTTTATCCAGCCAATGCTGCAGCAGAATCGGGCGAAGATATCCATTCATCCTCCCAGCAAAGAAAGCGAGGATTTTTCGCTCTTTAGGAGGTTGGCCTCTAAGTTTTTCAAGGGGATTCTTATCTGACCGGACAAATGTTTCTGCAAGAGACACATCTTTGCCAAATTGGAAGCCTCCTTTGGTGATATCAGAATTACATAAGGCTCTAATGCAATTGGCCATGACTTGTTTCGTCTCAGCAGGCGCCTGAAGGAGAAAGTAAATATCAACACGTGTTAAGAGACATCAACACGAAGATACAGTGATCTTGATCAATATGTCATAAGATGTTAATACTATCCAATAAGGTCGAAATCAGCTAACGAGAACTTGTAAAGAAATATTGCATATGTCCATCACTATTACCCAGTCATGGCAGGCAACAAGGAAATGGTCAGCTCCTCCAGTCCTATTCCAGAATGGGGATCTACTTGAGATTAGGCCGATGTAGTTATTCAAATGTCGAACCAAGTTCCTGCGCTTGTGAGAATTCGGGACGTACAACATCTCCCTTAACATCCAAGAACTAAAAGGAAGATAAAACAAGTGAGCATTTTTTGGATTCTCAGTAACAAAGTCTTTGCTTTCTATGAGCTGTTTCATGAACCATCCTTCTGAAGCATATATTCCTCTCAGCAATGGGGAGTGAAATATCGGTCTTTCTCCTTCTGTATACATGTAAACCTTGAGAGTCTGCTCCATTAATTCATAGCTCCTACACTTCAAACAAGGCATCTTGAGAAGACCTTTTTGTAGTTCTTTCAAATGAGCTACATTCTTATTGACAGTGATGATTAACGTCTAGGGAGACTAGTCTTAGTATAAATCAGAGGGGGAAAAAAGAAGAAAGCTATATGGATCCAAATTTTTTGAACCAACAAACACTTATAAGGCTATAAAGGCTGAAGAAATTTATACATTACTAGCAATAGTACTTCCAAAAGGCAAAAATTTACAAGACAAAACAAAAAAGCCAAGGAAAAAAATTCTAGTATAGTAGAGAAATCCATACTGGACTAACACTAGCAGTACATGTGCAAATATTCACTTGCCTCTTGAACATTGAAAAATTCCGAAACAGAGGAGCATGTAGGCCGGGATCATTATGTACGGCAGGGGAGCTCTCGACAAGAGTTTTGGCCACCAACAACTGTTGATCAGATTCTGAAGTCCATTTTGGTTTCTAAAAAAACAAGGATATAAGCAGAAAAGAACAGAAAATTCAGGTAAGCATAAGATGTGAAGATGAATTGTGGCATTTCATATCTTGCAAGATTCAAGAAAGTTACATTCAGTTGTATTTTCATACCTTTGCACGATAGGAAGTGAGATTTGAAATGAACATATAGTTCATTTGCGATAGTGACACCACCACACCTTCAGAGCCTTTAAATTTTTTCTTCACAGTGCGCCTTCTTTTTTTTGAAGACAGTGAAGGTGTAAGATTTCTCTTTAGTACTACTCCATTGTTTTCCGGTTTTCGAATCGTATGCCTTGCATCTTTATAAACGGAAGATGCATTGCGACCAACAAAGACAATAGGACTTCTTCTGCTGTTTACTTTTATGAAATCAAAGGATGGAGATTCATCTTTCGAGTCACTACCGGAACCAACACCCTGTGTTCCCACTGCATCTTTATCATCATCTGGAAACTTGAATGCATTAGTAGTCTCATAAAGATGGTCTGCAGAAGTGAAGCTGTTTGAAGAGAATTTGCTTGATGAATTTCCAGCTGAGAAGCAGCCCATGAATGAAACTCGAGTCTTGACAGCATAAAACGAGGGAAAGAAACCACTTCCATATGGAAGCTCAAGATATTGTGCCGGAAAAACCACACCAAAGAACAATGCCACTAGCAATAGGATCCTCCTATTCTCCCCCGGACTTGCAAGCTGATGCTGATTCTTAACAGGCATTTTGGGAGTAAGAAACTGAACCGGCCGCAAGCTTTTACACAAAAATAACTCCGAATGTCAGCAAGATGACAGTTAAAAAACCTTATGAAAGGAGCTTTGAGATGTTTGGGATTTGCAGCAGTCGAAATCGACAAGAATCAAACAAACTACTTTGAATTTAGGTACAGTGTTGGTCCAACAGCTTAACTATACACGAGGAACAGAATACAAATGAATAACTGCATCTGGAAAGAGTACATGTTCCTTTTGTATTCACCAACAGATTAACTTCTACTCCCGCCGTCCCATAATTATTGTCCGATTTGAGTTTTCATTTTTAATTCAAATTGTACTAAAAGTAAAATCTTAAACTGAACAATAATTTTAAGACAGAAGAAGTACTTTATATTCCCATCGTCCCATTTTAATAGTCCACTTTGTTGAACTTAAACAATACAACAAAGTGTACTACTAAAATGGTACGAAGGAAATAACAAAGAATGTCCAAGTACCTTTGAAGGGTCTTGCACCAGACACAATGTAAATTGTGAAACGTTCCAAGAAATCGAAAGATTTTAAGATTTTCTGTCAACTTAAAAGAATTCCAGATTAAAACAACAAACTGCGAACTAACCTGTTCAAGCTGGAAGCTCGATGAGTTAGTGGAAACCAGAATTTACTCCAACCCAAATAGGCCATATTCAGTTTAATCCACCTTGAAGAACGTTTGGAAACATAGGAGTAGTGAGTGGATTAGTTGAAAAACAACAGTAGAAATTGGTCAAATGCCCGACATCTCTTTTCCCAATATGAAGAAACTTTTGGCAAAAAAGAGGACTGTTTTATTCTATTTTCAACCATAAAAGGAGCATAGATCTATGCATTGAAAAGATGCAATCAAAGCATATAATATAAAGGCAATGCCGCATGCATTATGACCTGCCAGCCCATTTCTTCCTTGATTTGCGCTTTGATTGTTTTATGAACATGTGAGGAAAGAAAAGAAACTGTGGTCAGAATATTCTTGCTTCTGCTTCTTGATTTATCACCATTTTAATATTGTTGTTTACGAACATTGCCATTAGTAATTTAGTGCACTCTTACTTTTTCTTCTTTTATTCCTCTTCTTCTGCAGAGATTCCTTAATGGCTTAATCCTTCTCCTTCTTTTTTGTATACTTCATAGAGAATCAGGTTAACTACATTTCATGGATAAGAAATTCCATCTCCAACGCCTTCGAAAAAGAGGCATAAACCACGAATACATATATGAGAAATCTCATTTAGTCCTCCGAAGATGCTCTTCCTGCATAATGTATATATACATCCTTTGTTCTAAGTTAGTAGAATGATTCCCATGAACAAGATTAACCCAGAAGAAATCATGTGGTAAAAAATGAAAAAATAAAAAATTCACTAATGAATGAACAAGTTTCATATTTCAGAGCTTGTTAAGTGATCAGAACCATTGAAGTACCAACCAAGAAGCTCTCTTTCTTCAACTCCTAATTAAAGTAACTTAAAGAAAGCTAGCTAGCTGTTGAGTATTATATATAATCATGGAGCATAACTGAAACTTGATTGATTGTTGAACATGTATCATCAGGTGGAGCCAATCTGGAAAACCCTGGTAAACCAAATGGAATGAAGTATCATATGGAAAATGTCGTACTTTACCGGCTTGAAGTGCCATAGGAAATGATGTTGTACCATCTTTACATTCCTTTGCAGCTCCAAGTACTTGTCCTCTGGAATGGACACAAGTATGTTTTTCAAATCCGGAATGTCCTTCTCGGCAACAAAAACCGAGAAGGATTCCCAGTTAAACGTTTCGAAGAAAGGTGGAATGAAATTGTCTGATATGATGACAGGAACACACTCATAAAAGATGGCCTCAGCAACTCGGGGGCTGTTGACCTCGTAACCTTTTGCACAGATGCAGTACCTGGTGTTCTTCATGTACTCGATGTAACCCGTGTGACCCTGCAGCTCCAGCTCTGTCATCCGGCCGAATATTTTCATGTCCGGATCTTTATCCTGCCAATGTTGCAGCAGAATCGGGCGAAGGTATCCATGATTGTTCCCGCCAAAGAAAGCTAGGAATTTTCGCTTGGAAGCAGGTTTACCCCCAAGTCCTTTAAGTGGATCCTGAGCTAAACGGACAAATGTTTCTACAAGAGGCACATCTTTCCCAAATTGGAAGCCTTCTTTCACAATGTCGGAGTTACATAAACCTCTAATACAATTGGCCATGATTCTTTTTGTCTCTGCAGGGGCCTGCATCATAAATTAAGTAAGTCTCTTTCGCGCTTGCAACAATACAAATCTCAAAATTCAACGCAAACTATTTCTTTTAGTAAGCAGCCTCAAGCAGGTTAATTAGTCAAAAGATGATCAAATAATCCTTGGGGAAACACTATCGATGAATTCAGGTTGTAAGGATATAAATCTATCAGTCATTAATTTACCGAGTCTTGGCAGGCAACAAAGAAATGGTCAGCTCCTCCGGTCCTATTCCAGAATTCATATCTACTTGAGATTAGGCTGATGTAGTTATTCAAATATTGAACCATATCCCGCTGACTGTTTGAAGAATTTTGCACATACAATGTCTTCTTCAGCATCCAAGAGCTAAAAGGCAGATAAAACAAGTGAGCGTCTTTCGGATTTCTGGTAACAAACTTTTTGTTTTCTTTGAGCAGCTTCATGAACCATCCCTCAGAAGCATATATTCCTCTAAGAACTGGAGTGTGAAATATAGGGGTTTCTCCTTCTGTGTAGATGTAAACCTTGAGAGTCTGCTCCATTAATTCATAGCTCCTATATTTTTTTGAAAGGAACCATCTTATTAATTTCAAAGGACGGCCAGTCTTAGAGAATAAAAATCATGTGAATTAGAATATCCATATTGAACCAAAACAACAAGCAACTAGTGCCTATATAGGAAATATAGATCACTTGCCTTTTGAACATGGAGAAATTTCTAAACAGAGGAGCATGTAGGCTAGGATCATTTTCAACATCGGGGGAGCTCCAAATAAGAGATTTTGCCACCAACATTTCTTGATCAGATTTTGAAGCCCATTGTGGTTTCTAATGAAAATCCATCCAAACAAGCAGATTAGAAAAGGAGAAAATTCAGCAGGCAATAGCATGAGAGTTGTAAAGATGACTAGAGGGGCTGGGATTTCATATGTATTTTGCAAAATCTAAGCAAAATAATATTGTTAATACCTTTGCGCGATAGGAAGTTAGGTTTGAAACAAACATCTCATTCATTTGCGAAAGCGACACCACCAAAGTTTCAGAACTTCGGATTACATTGCTCACATTACCACTTTTGTTTGAGGAAGAAGAATGGTCCATCATTCTCTTTAAAACTCCATCATTTTTTTCAGTTTCCTGGACCTCGTCTTTGGACATAACGGAAGATGCATCGTGGCCGGATGGATGTTTCCCCGTTGCATCTTTATCATCAGGGAACTTGGTTGCATCAGAAGTTCCATGAATGTGGTCTGCAGAAGAGTTTAAGCCATTATTATTATAAGTGGTGAGATTTTTGTCACCCGCAGAGTACTTCTCCCTGGAGAATGTGCTTGATGAAATGAAGCTGCCCAGGAAAGAAACTTGCGCCTTGCCACCATTGAAGAATGAAAAAAAAGCTCTTCCATAAGGAAGCTCAATATATTGTACCGCGAAAACTACTGCAACTAACAGTACCAACAGTATCAGAAGCCTCTTATTCCCTGCAAGACTTGCAAGCTGATCTTTAACAGGCATCTTCAAGTAAAACAAACTCGATCAACCCCCAAGCTTTTTGGTTCCTTGGTTTCCAAGTCCATTCAAAGTCCAAATCTGAAAGTAAAAATAATTAGAAAATTAGTTTTTTTAAAAAAATTCTTCTGGAGGACAAACTACTTTTGACTTAATTAGGTGAATAACAATGAAGAACACAACAGAACAGAGAATGTAACTATATTTCTCTCTCAATGCATCAACGAAATTGTTAGCCTAAGTTATGGTAGCATTTCAAACATAACAAAGAATGGGGAAGAATCCAGAAGGGATCTTGTAACCAAGAACAATATTGTACAACAAACAATGTAACATGAAGCAATCCGAGGAATCAAAAGAATCAAAACTCTGTCAAAATGATAGAGTCGTCCCAGTTGAAGATGTCAAACCTGGAGCTAAACCATGTTAAAGAAGCTGGAAGCCCAACAAATCAGTTGGAACCAATCAGGGCCCTCTTGTTAAATGATTAGGGAAAAAGAGTTTGAAGAATCGTTTGGCCAAAAAGATTACTGATGTATTGTATTTCTGCAACAGTAAAAGGAAGAGAGATCTGTAGATCAGAGAAGCTGCTCTCAAGCATATCAATAAAAAAATTTTAAAGGCATGTCCGTAAGCTAGTTTATTTGTTAAATTAGCGTTTGATTTTCAAATGACCATGTGGATGGGATTTAAAAAAAACAGGAAAAAAACAAGTAACAGTTGACTTCTTTGATTATGCTTCACCCCAGATCACCAATGAGACGCTGAACACTAAAATAATAATCAGATGGTGCCTAACTGAGAAATTCTGGTATACCAAATGGAATGAAGTATCATATGGAAAATGTCGTACTTTACCGGCTTAGAATGCCACAGGAAATGTTGTTGCACCAGCTTTACGTTCCTCTGCAGCTCCAAAATCCTTCTTTTTTTTTATATTGACCCAAGTAACTGCAATAGGAGCCTCGTGTTCTTTGCCGGAAGAGCAGGCTGATATTTAACATCCATGGTGAAAGAATTCATCAGCCCAAGCTTCTTCAGCTCTACACAGGAGTCCACAAATATTTTCAAACACCAAGTTGCATTTTCGTCAAATTTGTTCAAGTTTTACTTCCAATATCTAATGACAGAATCCCATACATCTGAAACAGACAAAATTCGAACAAACCTGTAGTAGCTGGAAATGCCTTGATGAAACTACAAAATTTGAAACCAAATTTGCTCCAATCCAAGGCCCCTCTTTAGTTAATGCTTAAGGAAAAGATTTGAAGAATGTTCAGAAACAAGGCATAACATAAGTAAATAAGTGGAAACAGTAGAACTTGCTCAAATGGCCAACCATCTCCTCAATCATCAGTCACCAGAAAGAGAAGATTTTCAACTTGAAGAAACCTAAGGGAAATGAAAGACATATACATTGTAATGAGAAACTTAGAGAGATTTGTAACATTGGAGAAAATGCAGTCAAGCATATATAAATTGCAAGGCATGCATAAAATGCAGTGAAGCAATATAATATTTCTTATTTCTACTTCTTGCTTTCTCCAAGGTTATGAATCCTTTCTTATGGAATTCCAATACTGGATCACTACTCCTACTGGTGGGTTGTTCCTGTACTTCTGGATCCTGTCCTGGGAACATTATTAACTAATCTAGCTCTCCTTGATATAATAACCAAACAAGTAGCAATTTGCCTAGTGTGCCACTGAGGAGTTCTTCTCAGGCCAATTCCAAGATTAATAAATTGCCAAAGAAGAGAACAGAAGTTGATGAAACTCATTATCCAGAATTCCAGCTTTTGATGGTGTACATAACTGGGGGGATCATAATTTGGGGATTTCTGACCAATACTTTGCAATTGATTGAAACAAAACGAAAGTTCAAGTTAATGAAACATGGGGTTTAAACTGATCAATTATAAAACGCCAACATTATATAGGCAACAACACAGTCGAGTTTGCCGTCATCCTAGCTCCGCCGAACCAAAAGCAATTTAGGGGCCAACGCAACTTTAGCCTCAGCCAAATCAAACAATACTTAAATCAGCTTGCCAATTCATCCTCTATCTTCATTCATCTACTCATTTCCTCTCTCCTCATCGCAGAAATTACAGTAAACATTTTGGTAGGGTAAGCACTTTTCTACATGGACAATGGAGATTAATAATAATTCAAGCTATAATGAACTTCAGAAATATAATCAACACAAGAAGACATTCTAGCTGCCACAAAAGAGAACAGCCGAGGGCGGATTCATTGCTCAGATAATGGAAAAAAAAAATAAAAATAAAAAATAGAAATATTTACACCAACTGATAAGTGATAAATCTTAAGTATCAAAGATTCCCTCTTTAAACTCCTAAACTACAAAAATCTGTTGAGTATAACTCAGAAGTATATCTGTAACTTAATCTAGTGTACCATATGTATCAGATGGAGCCTAACTGGAAGACTCTGGTATACCATATTGAATGGAGTATCATATGGAAAATGTCGTACTTTACCGGCTTGAAGTGCCAAAGGAAATGTTGTTGTGCCAGCTTTACATTCCTCTGCAACTCTAAGTACTTCTTCTCAGGAATTGACACGAGTATGTTTTTCAAATTTGGGATATCCTTTTCAGGAACAAAAACGGCAAAGGATTCCCACTTAAATGTTTCAAAGAAAGGAGGCACAAAATTGTCTGATATAATCACAGGAACACAGTCATAAAAGATGGCCTCTATTACTCGGGGACTGTTTACTTCGTAACCTTTAGCACATATACAATACTTGCTGCTTTTCATGTGGTCGACATAATTCATTTGCCCCTTTACCCTTTCCATCTTACCAAATATTTTCATGTCCGGGTCTTTACCCTGCCAATGTTGCAGCAGAATAGGGCGGACATCTCCATGCATCCTACCAGCAAAGAACGCAAGGATGCTTCGCTGGGAAGGTGGGTGGCCCCCAAGTTGTTTAAGGGGATTCTGAGCAGACCGGACACTTGTTTCGGCTAGAGCCACATCTTTGCCAAACTGGAAGCCTTCTTTGGTGATATCAGAGTTACATAAAGCTCTAATGCAATTGGCCATGATTTGTTCCGTCTCTGCAGGAGCCTACATGAAGAAGTACATTTTGAATCAAAATACTTGTAATATAGATAATATGAAGAAAAGGGGAAAAGTTTCATTTCAGCTTCATTCTGTCAGAACCCAAAAACTCACTACTATACATAAGACCTGAAATTAGTAAATCAACAATTTCGGATTCAGAAAAAATCCTATTTGATGCGGTAGAAACAAGCCAGTTGTAAGTGAACGACACTCAAGACTGCGGCTTCAACTAGGAAAGAGAAAATAGGCATAAAGATGAATCTCTCTTTGGCAACTCTTTAAGTAATCTGTAAATAATTATCCATCTGCAATCATACCCAGTCATGGCAGGCTACAAGGAAATGATCAGCTCCTCCGGTCCTATTCCAGAATGAATATCTACTTGAGAGTAAACTGAGGTAGTCACTTAGATGCTGGACCAAGTTGCTGCGACTGTGCAAATCTGGCGAGTACAATGTTTCCTCCAACATCCGAGAACTAAAAGGAAGATAAAATAAGTGAGCCTTTTCTGGATTCTTAGTGACAAACTTTTTGTTTCCTTTAAGCAGCTTCATGAACCATCCCTCAGAAGCATATATTCCTTTAAGAACTGGAGTATGAAATATAGGTCGCTTGCCTTCCTTATAAATGTAAACCTTCAGGGTCTGCTCCATTAGTTCATAGCTCCTACAGTTTAAAAAAATAAAAAATTAAAAAAATGAAAAAAAAGGTACTTTAGTGATAACATTGCTCAAATCATTTAAAAACCTTCAAGTCCAAGATGGCTGGACAATGAGCTACATTGTTATACACATAAATTACTTACTTCAAACTTCAAAGTACAGCAATCTTTTCATGAATTGTTTTTATTGTTTGAATTGGAACGAGGAAATGCTAAAACTGCTTCTTTTCAGCCAAAGAAGAGGAGAGGATTCACTCCTCTAAAGGGTTAAACGTTTGTACATGAACAGTGTATAAGCTTAAAAGCAGTGAAGAAGATAGGCTGAAAAGACACCAAGCGGTGCAACTTCTAGTTCAAGTAAGCAACAAGTTAAACCAACAAGCAATTTCAGTACATTCTTTTTTCACAACCAACCAAGAAATTTGCAAAGGGCTAGAGACGGGTTAAGATATCACTAATTACAGTACTTTATAAGGCATGAATCTTAGGCACACTCGTAACAGGATAAACTACCACACCCAAGAAAAAAAAAAGTAAAAGAGCAAATGCTCAGAGAACAAAGGTTAGGAAAAGCAGAAGAACCATTTTGTACAACTATATGCAATGCAGATTTTACTTGCCTTTTGAACATCGAAAAGTTTCGGAAGATAGGAGCATGTAAGCTGGGATCATCATCAATTTCAGGGGAGCTCTCAATAAGAGATCTTGCAAGCAACAATTCTTCATCAGATTTGGATGTCCATGTTGGTTTCTAAAGACAGCAAACAAGCAGAAATGAAAAGGAAGTTCAGACAACCAGGAGAAGTAAGATGGATGAGTTTCTGACTTTCTGCAAGAGGATCTCATATCTTTCAGGTTCCAAAAGGGAAACCTTCAAACTGCTATACCTTTGCACGATAGGAAGTTAGATTTGAAATTAGCATATCATTCATTTGTGAAAGAGACACCACCACATCCTCAGAGCTTCTGGATTTTTTATTCTTAGTGTCCCTGCTGTCCATAGAAGAATAGTTGAGTGAAGGTGAAAGATTAGTCTTCAATAATCCAGGACTTCCAGTTTCCTGAATTGTATGGTCTTCATCTTTATAACTGGAAGATGCATTGTTACCAACTGCGACAGTAGGAGCACTTGAGTTGGTGCCCATGCCTACTGACTCCTGAAAAGGTGGTAGTGAATCTGATGATTCTATTGCAGTTGAAGGGGGTGAAGTTGGATGATCTGCATCTGATGCTGGTATTTTCTCAGATTCCTCCGAAGCATTCTCTGGTACCAAGCTATTAATACCTCTCAACTCTGGTGTGGATGTGTTGTTTGTTTCTATAAAAGCTGTGGATGAAAGTTGATCTTCGGGATCACTATTGGATTCAAAATTATTTCTAATTGCATCATTTCCATCTGAAACTTTGGTTGAATCAGAATCAACAGGGTGATTTTTAATTGTGTCATTTGCATCTGAAACTTTGGTTGAATCAGTGAATCCGTTGGTATGACCTGTGGAATTTAAGCCATCAGATGAGGTCCAATTCCTGTCACCTAAAGACTTCGCACTGGAGAAGCTGCTTGATGAATTTCCAGCCGAGAAGTTGCCCACCGAAGAAAACTGACCCTTGCCAGCATAAAATAAGGAAAAGAAAGCATTTCCATATGGAAGCTCAAGATATTGCACTGAAACAACCACAGCAAATAATAGTGCCACTAGCAAGAGGAGCCTCCTATTCTCCACCAGCCTAGCAAATTGAGATTTAATGTACATGTTGAAGTAACAACTCAACGAACCCAAGCTTCAACAACTTTAGACAAGTCCACAATATCATCAGCAAGCACCAGCAGCTTGCTTTTCCGTGGTATTCAAATCATTTAACTCCACTCCCTTATAACAGATAAATGAAATACCACATTCACCTGTTTAAAAAAAAAAAAAAAGAAAATTAAAAATTGAGGTACACACTGAACTACTTATGCCAAAACTGAAGATCAGCAAAGTGTTGACAATAAAAGCTTCTGCCAGGGACCAGGGTTTGATGGACTCAAGTTCTTTAACTGTGATACACTGGAATCTCATATTACAAAGGTCAGATCAACCAAATTAGTACTTCAAGTTCAAGGTTTGCAGTCGAACTACTCAATCAATTAACTGAACCCATGGATTTTAGTTCCTTGAAAAAAAAAAAAAAAACTGATTGCATATATAAGTATCAAATTCAGTAACATTGGACGTCTGGGAGAATGAATCACCTGAGCTACTTATTGGAACAAACCACAGTGAATTAGATACATGGTTCATTAGCTAATTATGGGGAACAGAACATAACACAAATACATAAACTCATCAAAAATATTCGTTCTTGTTGTCTTTACCATCATGACCTTACAATTAAGAAACCAAAGCATTAAAAGTAAGAGCAATAACAACATTGGTTCACAACCCAGAAGTGGTCTGTACCATAGAACAATGCAGACGAAGAAAGAACAACTAAAACCCAGTTCAGATATGAAATAACAGAAGCCCATATGAAACAGAGGAAGTTGGAAAGAACCTGTTGAAGCCAGAAACAAGATGAATAGGCTAGCCACAAGAAATTGCTTCAAACCGAATCCCTCCTCAATTTTTATGACAAAGGAAAAAAGCTTCCACCTTGAAGAATCTTTAGGAAGAAAAAAGAACAACCCAGAAATTGGTTCACATGGCAAAGGCTTTCTCAACAGTTACATGAACGTGTAGAAGCTTTTGGGGGAAAAAACAAAAAAGAAAAATGGCAGATTTGGCGTTAATTGGAACGGTGAAATAAGAAGTAACAGAGATCTAGAGATGTCAGAGAAAAATGGCAGTCAAAACCAAATAAAATTTTTAAGGAGTCAGTGGCCTTGCCAACCCATTTCCTTGCCTGGCGGTTCACTGTTTGTTGAAAATTCCTACAAATTTTTAGCTACTTTTTGTTCTCATCATCATCATCATCATCAAATTTTTTTAAGAGCATTATGAACATTTTATAGAGTAATGATTTTGCCATGATATGAGTTTTTAAAATTGGATGATGACTAAGCACTGTGATTATTGGCCCCACGGTCAAAGGGAATCCTTAATCATCTTTATGCGTAAGTTAATTTTGATTTTTCTTAAATTTATTTATTTTGTTTTTTCCATTAAAAATAAAACCTTGAAAATGCTTTACTAAAATATTTTTCCCTGTATTTGTAACAAATACCAATAAATGTGCACATGTGAATCGAATAATGATTGATTAGGAGTTTTTCTTTTTATTTTTATGCAACCATAATGAAAAGTGAATTAGTGAAACATACTGAAGATCTAACCTCCATTCCATATTCATCAGTGAAATTCATATGAAGCCAATTAAAAGAGTTAGCAAGTTTACTTTTTCAAATGAAACCAATCATAGGTTGGAATTGAAGTCAATTAAGAGCATTTTTAAAACACTAAAAACTCGTCCGGATGGCGATCGGTGATAATGATTTGTTTGACCATTCTGTGTTTTGGACTTCAATAGTTCAATGTCCATTTTTTTAATTGCAGAAAATTAGATGCAAGTGATGAAGCAATGCACCGACAAAGATGCAGCAATCAAAATTGCGAGGACAATTTGTGAATCTATGATAAATCTGGGAAAAAAGAAGTAACAAAATAATTGTCATGTCTGTTAAAAATTAACATCGGAACGAATGGAGTATGAATGAATATAATGAGAGAGAGGATTTATTAGTCACATAATGAAAATATACAGATATATCATATACATTTACTTCACTGTATTACTGTAACCTTTGAAACTACATCAAGATTTCCTCTTTATTAATATAAAGCTGGCCAAAACTCTAAGAAAGGTGTTGAGTATCTAAATCATCTATTATGACTAAAGTATATCTAAAATCCAGTGTGTTTCAATATGTACATCATCAGGTGGAGCCTAACTGGAAGACTCGGGTATACCAAATGGAATGCAGTATCATATGGAAAATGTCATACTTTACCGGTTTAGAATGCCAAAGGAAATGTCGTTGCACCAGCTTTACATTCCTCTGCAGCTCCAAGTACTTCTTCTTTGGTACTGACATCAGTATGTTCTTCAAATTCGGTATATCCTTTTCGGCAACAAATACTGCGAAGGATTCCCAGTTTAATGTTTCAAAGAATGGAGGCACAAAGTTGTCAGATATGATGACAGGAACACACTCATAAGAGATGGCCTCCACAACTCGCGGACTGTTGACTTCGTAACCTTTTGCACAGATGCAATACTTGCTGTTCTTCATGTGGTTTATGTAGCTCATTTGGCCCTTTACCTTTCTGATTTTTCCGAATATTTTCATATCTGGATCTTTATCTAGCCAATGTTGCAGCAAAATGGATCGGACATCTCCATGCATCCTACCAGCAAAGAAAGCGAGGATTTTTCGCTTGGAAGGTGGTCGGCCCCCAAGTTGCGCAAGGGGATTTTCAGCAGACAAGACATTTGTTTCGGCCAGTGACACATCTTTGCCAAATTGGAAGTCTTCTTTGCTGATATCAGCGTTACATAAAGCTCTAATGCAATTGGCCATGATTTTTTTCGTCTCTGCAGGGGCCTGCATGAATAAGTATGCTGTCAGTTAAAAGAAAGAACTGTAAAAAGATTTTAAACTTCTGCTGCAAGTAGCAAAGAGAACATATGGATATAGATGATTGTCTCTTTGAGAGCTCTTGTAAGTAAGCTGTGAAGAAATACTCAATCTTTCCAACCTTACCCAGTCATGGCAGGCTACAAGGAAATGGTCAGCACCTCCAGTCCTATTCCAAAATGGGTATCTACTGGCGATTAGGCCGAGGTATTTACTCAAATGTTGAACCATGTTCTTCCGACTGTGCAAATCTGGCAGATACAGTCTCCTCCTCAATATCCAAGAACTATAAGGAAGATAGAACAAGTGAGCGTTTTCTGGATTCTTGGTGACGAACTGTTTGCTTCCTTCGAGCAGCTTCATGAACCATCCCTCAGAAGCATATATTCCTGTAGTGACTGGAGTGTGAAATATAGGTCTTTCCCCTTCCTCGTAGATGTAAACCTTGAGAGTCTGCTCCATCAAATCATAGCTCCTATATTTGAAAACAATCAAGCATCACCGATTCTTGGACTTACATTATTAACTTCAAAGGACAAAAATGCAGAGACATCAAGTAGATCATCTCGATTGTTTTAACTGCAACAAACAATAGAAAGCTAAAACTCTTATCATCGAAAGTGGTAGTGCGGAACCAAGCCTAAAAAGGGTACACTTCTGTGCATCAACAGCATATATGCATAAGAGGAATGGAAGATCTTAAGATAATAAAAACCTTGAAGTAATACTTTGGGTTGAAGGCTTGAAGTAAAACCAATTTTTTTCTCAAAAACATATTGGACTAGATTCTTGTTCTACATCCTTAAAGGCCAGAGAAGTAGTTATTATGTTCATGATTTAAGCACTGACAAAAGCACTTTCAAAAGACAGTAGGTTAACATGTTACTCCAGAAGCTATTTAGAGAAACATTGTGAATCAGCAGAAAATGTAAATAAGCAGATTTCCACTGACCTTTTGAACTTTGAAAGGTTTCGGAACAGAGGAGCATGCAGGCTGGGGTCATCACGAACAGAATGTGAGCTCCAAATAAGAGATTTTGCATGAATCAATTCTTTATCAGATTTTGACACCCATCGTGGCTTCTGAAGTCAACATTTTTAACAAGCAGAAAAAAAGAATTCAGGAAACCAGAAAATGTGAAGATGGATGAAATAGTTCCTGCTATGGAGATCATATCTTGCAAGGTCCAAGATAGGAAACCATCCATTGCAGTTATACCTTTGCACGATAGGAAGTGAGACTTGAAATGAACATCTCATTCATTTGGGGAAGTGACACTACCACATCCTTTAAGTTTTTCGATTTTCTTTTCGCATTGTGGCTGCTGTTCACAGAGGAATAGTTGAGCAAAGGTGCAGGATTTGTCTTTAACAATCCAGGACTATCTGTTTTATGAATGGTATTGTTCTCATCCTTATAACTGGATGATGCATTATGACCCACTGAGCCCATGGGAGCTCCTGAATCGGTACCCTTGCTAACTGGGGCCCTAAAAGGAGGGTGTGAATCTGATGATCGAACTGTAAATGAAGGGGTTGGACTTGGATGATCTGCATTTTCATTCTCCCTGTCAACACTAATATTCGGATCTGGTTTTATCTCAGATTCATCAGAAGCCTTCCCTGGTACCAGATTAGTAGTCCCTTCCACTTCTGGCATGGATGTTTTGTTTAGTTCCATGAAATCTGTGGATGGAATTTCATCTTCAGGGCCACTACTGGAATCAACCGAATGCTTTCTTGTTGTATCATTTACATCAGAAACTTTGGTTGCGTTGGTTTCGTTGGTATGATCAGTGGAATTTAAGCCACCAGAAGAGGTTGAGTTCCAGTCAACTGAAGGCTTCGCACTGGAAATGGTTCCTGATGAATTTCCAGCCAATAAGTTGCCAACTGAAGCAAACTGAGCCTTGCCAGCATAAAATAAGGAAAAGAAAGCATTGCCGTATGGAAGCTCAAAATACTGGACTGAAACAACTAGAGCAAATAAAAGTGCCACCAGCAACAGCAGCCTCCTATTCTCCACGAGACACGCAAGCTTAGATTTAATGTACATGTTGAAGAAACAGCTCAAGGAACCCAAGCTTCAACAGCCTGAGAGCTTAGACGAATCCAGAATATCTGCAAGCACCATCTAACTATTCCGGGGTTTTCAAATACAAGCAGCTGGAGTCTCAGTTAACAGCTGAGCTGAAGATGATCAATATGTATCTACACAACCCAAAAGCTGAACCAATTTCGCTAAGTATCTGTCAAAAAAAACGGTTCCGTAAGGGTTTGATGGGCACATTGGACTCGCAATTGGGAAAGTCAGATGATCAATTAGACTTATAAGGTTCAAGGGAAAACTACTTAATAATCTATTAAGTTGAATCCAATAATTGTAGTTCCTTTAACAGATTTTCATTTTTGAAGTATACTTCTGCGAACGATAACAGAATCGAAAGGAATGAGTAGCCCGAGATACTTTTTAACTAGTACTAATTAGATACATGGTCCAAAAAATTATGTTCTTGGTGTCTTAACTCTTAAGCATGCTCTTTCGATTAAGCAAACAAGTCAGAGTTACTTCCATTTCAAACGATGAACTTAAAATAAATTTCTAACAAAAATAAAACTAATAACGAGATTGATTCAGAACCCAGAAGCTGAGCTGTCTGCACCCAAGAACAACTCAGAAACAAGAACAAAACAACCAAAAACCAGAGAATCCCAGATGAAACAGAGGAAGTTCGAACCAACCTGTAGAACGCTGGAAACTTGATGACTTACTGGCAGTGGCAGTAGAGGAATTTGCCTCCAAGCCTAAGGCCCTCTTCAGTTTTATTAGATTGAAAAAAAAGAAAAAGAAAAAGCTTGCACCTTGAAGAATCTTGGCAAACGTGGCAAACTAGAAATCGCCTTACATGGCAATCCTCTGTCTTTTTCATCAGTTACATGAACTTTTAGAAGCTTTGGGAAAGAAAGATGTCAGAGATACTATATTTAAACGGTGAAACTAGGAAGGAAGGAAGAGAGAGAGAGAGAGAGGCCTAGATATCTGAGAAAAATTGGCAGATATAGTAATATTAAACAGAAAGTCATCGTTCTGCATTCCAAATTCCTTGACTGCCTGGCGGGTTGATTGTTCTTTCAAAATGAATGCCTTTCGTATTAAAAAGTATTCCTTTCGTGTACTCTTGGCTCTCCCCATCTAAGTATTTCAAAACAATTATAAAAGTAGTAAAAAATTTTCATTTCATATCAATTTAAACAGTGGTTGACTGGGATTCTTCCCCACTGGTCAAAGGGCATTTCTATATTCCTATTATTATCCTATGTACTCTTATTTTAGAACCGGAAAGAATATTTTCTTATAACTTGCCATGTAAATCATATGTAAGACTTGTATGGACAAAGAAAAAGTTATATGATAAGAGTGAAGAACAAAATAAATTACTTTTATCTCGTCTTTCATACTTTTTCTGTTCTAAAATGATCATTCATTCCTCTTGTATCTTTATTTGAAAGATAAAAATTCAAACTAGATCATCGCCCCCGGTAATATAAAACCTCTCGGAAATGTTACTGCAGCAGATTTAGTTCACCATTAACATTGGTGATCACAAAGTGTCAACTAACTTTCGTCTAGTTTTTTAGGTTTACAAGATGTGTCAGTTCTTTTTTCTTGATTGTTGACTGTGATTCATGAGTTTGGCAAGCTTTCGTTCTGCCTTTGGTAGTTTTTTTTTACCATATTCAAATCAGTCACAGAATCCTTGTGAGCTGGCTATGGAGACTTAGAGTATGTAAGATTTTTTTTTTTTTTTTGGATATATATAATAATGTGGGGAAGTTTGTAAGATATTGTTGTGTGGATGGTATGGCATTTAGTGGACCAAATGAAAGTTGACTGGAACTCAGGAAGAATACATTTACTTAGGGTAATTATCATCAGTTTTATGACCCACCATTAGCCATTAGGCCATAGCTGAATTCGACACAGTCCATACTTGCCACTTAACATATAAAGGTTTAGCCTTCTTATCATTAGTCTATCAGAAACAATACAACTGAATCTAAGTTAAATAAAGGGCAAGATTCTCCTGCTAAGCTATTTGTTGCAGACTGCAATGAATACTATAGCAGAAACATGTGATTCCTCGGGTGATAAAATTCTTGCCCTATTCAGAAACTACATTTGAAAAACCCTGTTGTACCAGATGGAGTGAAGTATCATGTGAAAAACATCATACTTCAGGGGCACATTATGCCATAAGAAATGCTTCCTTACTTGGTTCACTCTCTGTTGCATCACCACATACCTCCTTTCCGAGATTGACAGGAGTATTGTTTTCAAATTCGGAATGTCTTTCTCCAGAACAAAGACGGCGAATTTTTCCCAGTTCAGGACTTCAAAGAAAGGAGGCACGAAGTTGTCTGATATGATCACCGGAACACAGCCATACATGATCGCCTCGACTAACCTTGGACTATTAACTTCGTAGCCTCTTGCACAAATGCAGTACTTGCTGCTCTTCATATGATGAATGTAGCTGGATTTGCGCATCCGGCCAACAATTTTCATATCGGGGTCTTTGTTTTCCCAATGCTTTAAGAGGATTGGGCGGAGGTAACCATGCATTTTACCGGCAAAGAAAGCGAGGATTCGCCTTTGGGAAGCAGGTTTACCTCCCAATGATGCTCCTCTTCCTCCTGAGGGGAATTGAGGTGAGTGTACAGATGTCTCTGGAAGCGATGCATCCTTGCCTAACTGGAATCCCTCTCTTATGTCAGCATTGCAGAGAACTCGTATGCAATTCGACATCATGGCTTTAGTTTCCTCGGGTGCCTGAAAATGTATCAAACAATCCTGACTTTTCTGATTACAATGAGCAACATAAAACGGTCAAACTAAATAAACCAATTCAAAGATATGACATAGTAAATCCTCCAATCATCTGAATTGTTCCTTTAAATCCTAATCCTGCTTTTCACCATCATTTGCTTGCATCATATTTCAATGAAACCCACAAGCTCACTTCTCATTCCATTATTCCACTCATCGCAAAAAGGCCTTACAGTTCTGGTCAAAATCCAATCTTTTGGATTAAATCAAGGATGATGTAAAAGACACCAACAACTGAAGATAATTTTGTCCAAAAACTTATTACTGCCAAAACAAAAAACTTCTCGGCTTCAGCTTCAGTATGTTTGTGAATACAGTTACCCTCTTACGTTCTCATGCATGCATTGCATCATGTACTGAAAATATAGACCAAAAAATTCAAATGACCCTGAACTCAGACCAAAGATTCAATTTTGACCCAATGACCCTGAACTTTAACCATATATGCAAATTCAAATATAAGACCAAAATTGAATGAATGAATCAAAATGTACTGAAAATGAGCATTTCAATGGTTTACTCTAAGAACTCTAGTACAAAGATTCTACTATGCTGGCATACCCAATCGTGGCAAGCAACCAGAAAATGGTCAGCACCGGAAGTTCGATTCCAGAAAGAGTATCTCCCCTGAATTGTATCAAGATAATTTCTCAAGTACTGTTTTAATCCGTCGAAACTGTGGGAATTACGGACATAAACAGCCTCTTCCAAACTCCGAGAGCTAAAGGGCAAGTAAAACAGATGGGCTTCCAATGGATTAGTGGTAACAAATTGTTTGCTTTCCTGGAGAAGCTTCATAAACCACCCCTCCGAAGCATAAATTCCAGTTAGTCTTGGCTGATGGAATACTGGTCTTTTCCCTTCTTTGTATATATAAATCTTGAGTGTCTTTTCCATCATCTCGTAGCTCCTGCATTGAAGCTTGAAATCAATCAAACTAATTGAAAAAAGGCCAAAACAAAATTGACCATTTTTTTTTTTTGGCTTCCTGTATAGTATATACCTCTTAAATCTTGAAACATTCCAGTAAAGAGGAGCATATAGGAGAGAACCATCCTTGCTAATTGTTCCTTTCTCTATCTGCTCTCTTGCATTGTGTAATTGCTGATCTCCTGCTGAAGAAGGCCATACTTTCTGCAGGCAGACAACGGAATGATTCAGTTGAATGAAGATTAATTAGCTACAAAGACTGACCACTTAGGAAATCTACCGTCGAATTTCGAATGCATGAAGTACGCCTCAATAGCATGTCATAAAGATCCCTGACTGATACAACTGATCCGTTTGTTGTCCATTGAGAGAAATCTCCACTGGATGAGCAAAAATGACTCTGGTTTTGGCCAGACACCACATTTCTTCTGTTCTCCTCTGCAGTTAAGTTGGACCCAAGTGGTGGAGAAAGGGTTTCATTTCCACTGTCTACATTTGTAAGAGTGCTGCTGATATTGATCTTTCCAGTTTCTTCAAAACCAGAGGCACTTTTAGTGAAGTTTTGAATGTTATCAGAAGTAGAGATATTTGCAACTTCATTGACTGGCTCAAAATCTCCTCCCCTCTCTGTCTTCAAGCCATTCTTTGTACCTCCATGTTGGTCAGATTCAGAACAATTTACAGTGTATGAACAGGTTTTTTCCAATTTTGTGGAAAAATTAGACAGCCCAGATGCATAATTCGGACTACTAATCTGTAAAGAACTAGTCTTGGCAGCAGAAAAGAATCGAAAAATACCAAATCCATATGAAGAAACATCAAAATGTTGAACCGTTAAAAATGAAACAAATACCAGTAAAATCAACCATAAAACTCTACCATCTTTGAACGGGATCAATAAACACTCACGATTCATTACAAGAGACCATCAATCTGCAGATATCATTTGTGGTTCGTGAAGAAATTAAAGAAACCCCTAAACCCACCAAAAGAAACACCAGAGTTTCAGGAGTTGAAAACTTTTCTTTTTTATCCTGCAACTTCACCAGGTACAAGAACACAAACCCATTTTTACTATTGCCAACCATTCATTACTTAATTAATGTAATGTCTCGAAACAAAAAAATACGCATGCATGGTTTACAAGTGTAACAAACATCTTATTGCTTGTGCTTCAGTATGAGTTTTCCAAGTGTTTTTTTGAACTGCTTTTTAATAGTATGTTGGCTGCCATTTTTTTTCTTCCTTTTTTTTTTTTTGGTTATATCTTGGGAAGAATCCTTATATATTACTAGTACTACTAATTAAGAGAGGAGAATTTTGGGTTAAATAAAACTTTCTGTAATTAGTATAGGGATAAATACAATAAAAAATAAAAAAAACAAAATTTTCTGTTACTAATAGATGATTTGTGATCCATTATCAATAGGTGATTATCTGACAAAAAAGGAAATTCGATGATAGGAAAATTCGAAAAACAAAAGGCATGATTTGTTGTTGTTAAAGGATAAGTAATTCTGTAAATAATAATGTAACAAAAAACTGAGTCGACGAAATAATTTTTTTTTTTTAAAAAAAAACCCAACTATGTATACCATATATCATAAAATATAATAGGTCAAAGAAATAACAACAAAATATCCAAGATACAATAATACTCCCTGCGGTCCTTACTATAAAGCATTTTAAATTCGTCTTAGGTTTAACCTAAGATATCTTTTTTAATTGGAAAAAAACGTTAAAAATATATTTTCACATTCGTTGTCTTCTCCTAACTATCATGAAATATTTTTAAGATTTTTGTTCCAATTAAAAAGACATGTGAGGTGAAAACTAAGACAGAATCAAAATAACTTATAATAAGGACCGGAGGGAGTACAACCTTATAGTCGTGATTTAACAAATAAAAAATAAAAAGTAAAACTTAATGCAGTCTAAAAGATTTGTATGTACTAAGAGACGAGAAATCTAGACTCCGCGAGGATAAAATCCATAAAAGATAATCCAAATTAACTCATTTCAATTTGAAACTCTTAAACCAGTTCAAACCCATTGTTATACATAAAAATAAATAGTAGTGGAAAATTGGTCGAAACGAAAATATTTATTCCTCATCCCATAATTCACAATAAGTCCAAAATGTTTTCAGGAACGTTTGGAAAAGGTAACCTACCCAAAACTGTGGAAGAGTGTTTTTATTATTTGTTGATGAAGAAGTTGGAAAGCAATAGAGAGTCGTGGGGACCCAAAAGCAGGTATACATCCTTTTATTTTGTCCAATAATTTATGAAATGTCATATATTCAATTTGTGCTAATGTTCATCTATACTTAGAACTAGTGATGTCTGGTCGCGCAATGCGCGACCCTGACCCAGTCTATCTGTAGATCTTAGAAATATTTATATTTGAAAAAAAATAAAATTTTGTATTTGTAGCGATATATATTAGAAATGTTTGAAGGATTTAGAAATGTTTTATAAGTGTCATCATAGAAATATTTTTATTTCACACAAAAAAAAAGAAATTGTATTTCGCCATGTATGTTTTAGAAATATTTTATAAGTGTTACTTATTAAATATAAATAGCCTTAATCGAATAAATGTGTTGAAGTAAATGTTAAATAAAATATAAAAGTATCCTAATAAATTTAAATATTAGTAAGATGATTTATTGATGTTCTCCCTTGGTCGTGCCAAATCAATACTTAGTTTTGGAGATTTTTAATAGTTTTGTAATAAGTTTCATCCGAAGGGTATACGCTTAAAACAAAGTTGACACTTTGTAACAAAAACCTAATTGATCAATTCAATTTAAAAAACTACTCTAGTTGAGAAACATAAAGAAAAAATAAAATAAAAAAAAACGTGTCACGTAAAGTGGAAAGGGAAATTTAGTAATTTAGTTATGGTTAGACAAAAGGGCAATTTAGTACTTTCTACATGCCACGTGGAAATCATATGGGGTGTTTGAAAGGGAGGTTTTTGTTTCTAATATAGTAGGAAGTGGGCCACAATTGAGGTTATCTCTTCACCAAGGAAAAATATTTTTATTTTTAAAGCTGTTTCAGGAAATGGGAAAAAAGAAAAAAAAAAAAAAAAGAAAAAGCTGGGAAGCACTTGATACAGTGCAATGGTGCTGAATGTCATTTTTCTGAGATTTTCCTTTTTTTTTTTTTTTTGCAGGGACACATCTTCGGTTAAAATTATTTTTTTATCATCAATTTTCATTAGATTATTAGTGAATTAATGGCATAGAGCGTTTTCTTTGTTAATTTGGATAGGATTTTTTTCTTGTTTAATGTTTGAAAAAATATTTTAATTAGATTGATGATCGATATGTGGAATTATATCTCTCTATACTAGGATCAATGCACAAATTGAGAGAGACTTATCAAAAACTGATAAGAATATGTCTATTAATGGTTCTAAAAATGTTATGAGAACTGACAGCTTCAATTCATATTCAACTTTGCTCCCATGGGATGATGGGCATATCGATATTGGGCTTACACCCGAAGCTACACTTCTCAGAAGGATATTTAACTCAAGGCCGAAATCTTACTAGTTATTACTGCGTGACTGTAAACTGCCATAATCAGGACCTCTTACTGTATTTTATTTTTCTTTTGTTATATCTACTAGTGGGTGACCCGCACGTTGTGCGAGTTATAAAATTTTTCATACATTATTTGTGTACAATAAAGATAATCAAAAAATATAAGAGTAATTACGTCAAAAGATGTATTTATGTATACTCGCTCAGTCCTAAAAAGATATCTAAAATTTCTCCAAAAAAATACAGTATAAAAAGTTCTCAAGTAATCACCATGCACATGTACTTCACATCTATTCAGAGTGCCTGCATTGAACATAAATCCGTATAGAATAAAAAAAATGAAAGCAATCCATTGAATAAAAAAAAATCTAAGAAAAAAACAAAAGCTCTAAAGAAAAATAAAACAGATACTTGATTGTTTTGAACTATTTACTATGATGGAATTTAAATAGAACAATACTGTATTTAACAAATCCCGTATAAGTTTTAGGATATGAGTAATCTAGGATAACTCGGACTTTATTTGAGATTTCATTATTGAATTACTTATTTTAAAAGATTGTTGCAGAAAGTTAAAATAAAATTATCTTAAGATGCACAGTAATCACGGTTAAATCTATTTTTTTTCCGTCCAACTTAAGTGAGTTTCAAATTCCATACCAAATAAACTGTTTTCACCATGTATTAATGTATATATATATATATATATATATATATATATATTAGGATAATCCCAATTATAGCGGCCCGAAAGTGTATATGATGATGAATTAGGGCTAGCCCCATGGTAGTGGCCAGAAAATGTATTTATTTTAATGAATTGTTTAATTTTTATTTTTATTTTTAGTATAATTTGTATTAAAAATCGAAAATTCAAACTAGACAATAAGAATTAATATATATATATATAACTGTTCAGTTTTAAGTTTAAAACAATTTATATAACTATCAATACAACAACAATAACAAACCTTTTTCCCACTAGCTGGGGTCGGCTATATGAACCATATGTCGCCATCGTGCTCGGTCGGTACATAAATCATCGGACAAATTCAAACATTTCAAATCATTTTGATAGTTTCTTTTTATGTTTTCTTAGGTCTACCCCTACCCCTTTTAATTTGAGTTCTTGCTTCTATAGTTTCTACCCTCCTAACCGAGGCCTCTATCGTTCTCCTACGCACATGTCCAAACCATCTCAAGCGATTTTCTCTCATTTTTTCGCCTATTGGAGCTACCCTTACTTTCTCTCTATTATACTCATTTCTAACCCTATCTAATCTAGTATGTCCACACATCCATCTTAACATTCTCATCTCCGCTACTCGTATTTTTTTTTCCCATTTTCATATTTAGTACCCCAACACTCGGATCCATAAAGCATTGCCGGTTGAATAGCTGTTCGATAGAACTTACCTTTCAAACGCAATGGTACCTTACGATCACAAAGTATTGATGAGGCACTATGCTATTTATTCCATCCGGATGGAATTCTATGTGTTACATCTTTATAAAAGCATCCATTTTCCTCTATAATTGATCCTAAATATTTAAAACTTTTAGATGTTTTTATTTCATGTTCACCAATTTCAATTTATACCATTTTATTACTCCTACGAGTACTAAAATGACACTCTATATATTCCGTTTTAGCCCTACTTATAGTAAAACCTTTAGATTCTAGCATCTCCCTCCAAGTCTCTAACTTGGCATTAACCCCCTCCCTCGTTTCATCTATTAGAACTATGTTATCCTCGAATAACATACATTTGGGGATGACTATTTGCAAATGCTTAGTAATTTCATCAATTACTAAGGCAAAAAAGTATGGGCTTAACGTCTAACCTTAATGCAAATCAACTGTGATTGGAAATTTACCCGAATTTCCTAAGAGAGTCCTTACACATGTTATTGCATTTTGATACATTTCTTTTATAGTTTTAATATATCCCACTCTCACTTCCCTCTTTTCCAACACCCGCCACATTACATCTCTATTGACCCTATCATATGCTTTTTTCAAGGTCAATAAAGACCATGTGCAATTCTTGTTTTTTCTCATTAAAGTGTTCACATAGTCTTCTTATTAAATGTATAGCTTCCATTGTTGATCTTCCGGGCCTAAACCCAAATTGATTCTCCATTATACCTATTTCTTGTCTTTACCTAGTTTCTATCACCCTTTCCCACAATTTCATTGTATGACACATTAGTTTTGTACCCCTATAGTTAGCACAATTTTGTATGTCTCCTTTATTTTTAAATAAAGGTATTAGCGTACTCTTCCTCCATTGGTTAGGCATTTTCTTACTCTTCATTATTATGTTAAATAACTCCGTAAGCCATTCAATCCCAAATTTGCCAAGGTATCGCCACGCCTCTATTAGGATATCATCGGGACCTACAACTTTACCATTTTTCATTTTTTGCATAACTTTTTCAACCTCCTTAATTTGAATTTTTTTTATAGTATGTGAAATTTTTATGTTTCTCACTTTCCTCTAATTCACTTAATGTTGTTTCTCTATTATCTATTTTATCAAATAGCTTATGAAAATAATCTTTCCACCTATCTTTTATTATCTTATCATCAACTAGAATATGGCTATTTTCATCTTTTATATTTAATTTTGGTTAAATCTCTTATTTTCTTTTTTCTTAATTTTGCAATTTTATAAATGTCTTTTTTGCCATCTTTAGTATCTAATTTTTTGTAAAAATTTTCATAAGCTTTTATCTTTGCCTCACTTACTATTTTTTTTTTACTTCTTTTTTAGCCTTTTTATATTTTTCTAAGTTCTCATCACTCTTATTAGTGTACAATGCTTTATAGCAAGCCTTTTTATCTTTTACTTTTTTCGTGAATATTTTGATTCCACCACCACGACTCTTTAGTATATTTACTACCTTTAGAAACTCCTAGTTCTTTTTTAGCGATTTTTCTTATTTTTTTAGTTAACTTTTCCCAAGTTTTATTAGCTTCTTTTTCCATATTCTAATTTATATTTTCAAATAAGGCTTTAGTAAACCTATTCTTTTTATCTTTGTTATTAAGATTCCACCTTTTTTATCCTAGGTATTTTATGTACCTTTTACTTGCATGTATTGATTTTGATTGTTAGATCTAGGACTAGTAACCTATGTTGAGTCGTTAGACACTCACTCGGTATTACCTTACAATCTTTACACATTTTTCTATCATTTTTCTTAGTTAAGAAGTAATCAATTTGTGATTTATTAGTTACACTTTTATATGTAATCAAGTGCTTATCCCTCTTTTTAAACAAGGTGTTACATATGACAAAATCATATGCCACCGAAAGATCTAATATAGTTTTACCTTCATTATTTTGCATCCCAAAGCCATAACTCCCGTGGACCCTCTCATAGTCTTCATTTCCCTTCCCTACATGTCCATTTAAATCTCCACCTACAAAATTTTTTTCATTTTGAGGGATTGATTGGATCAATGATTCAAATCTTCCTAAAATTTAATTTTAGTGGATTTATCTAACTCTACTTAAGGTGCATTTGCACTAATTACATTTAAGACTTCATTTCCTATTATAACTTTTAAGGATATTAATCTATCCCCCTTCTTAACCACCCGTACTACTTGGTCTATGAGTGATGAACCTACTATAATACCTACCCCATTCTTAGTCCTATTTTTCCACCTATACCAAAGTTTGTACTCCGTGTTTTCTAAAACTTTGGCTTTTTCACTACCTATTTTGTTTCTTGCAAAATAGTTTAAGGGATTCTACTATTTAATAGGTAGCTTTTTCACCTACCTAAAACTTTGTCTTTTTCTCATATATTCTACTAGTTTTTGGGATTTACTATTTAAGGACCCTATATTCCAACTCTTTATTCTACAAGTTTTATCATTTCTATATTTAATATTCAATTGTCTTCTATCTTGGGCATTTTTCCTAGCTCCCACTGCTCTCACGCCCTCGTGAGAATGTAGCGGTCCTTCCCAAGAAGTGAAAGATGTGACTTGTAATGAATTCTTGGCGTACGGGGCTTCTTGCACATTTTGCACTACATCCAAGTCCCTATAGAGATGTAGCTGTCCTTGCTAAGACGACGCAGTCAGACTCTACGGCGCGCCACATACAACGGGTGACATCCTACCATTTGCACGATTTCTTATATGATCCATATTCATGAGAGTGGCAGGGTTTTTTATATGCTGGATGCCAACCTAACGCAAACCCTCCTCCTTTGCACTGGCTTGGACAGTCAATGGTAAACTCTAGAGAACTAACGAACCCGAGAATTTACCGTAGGCAGAGTTTATATAATTATCACTCTTAAGTTCAAAATTGATACAGCTCGCACCACGTGCAGCTAATTACTAGTTATTACTACAAATAAAAAATAAAAAATTAAAAAAGGGGCACAGTTTTATTATTTTTGATCAAAAAAAGAAAATGATGAGAAAATAGTTTTAAAACTAGAAACGGTGTCGTTAGCTAGCCCACACAAAGTTTAAAACTTAAAAGCCTATAAACCCTTGAACTAAAACCCTTTTCTCTTGGCCCCCCGAGCTCAATTCAGTTGCTGCAAACTCCCAGAAAACACAAATGGAGGAGAAGAGAGGAGATGGGCGCAATGCGAATCAGTTGAGACCGTTGGCCTGTACTCGTGGCATTCTCAATCGGTCTCACGGCTCTGCTAGTTGGATTCAAGGTTCCACCTCCTTTTGCCTCTACTGCATGAATTTTTCAGTTTAATTCAAACTGTTTTGATGGGGAAGTTGCATTCTGTTGCGCCCTTATTGATTTGATTCAAGAATTTTACTGTGATGATTTTGCTCTTCAGAGCTTGTTGATATTAGAAGCTGGAGTAAAAGTTACCTGTTCAATTAGTGATTAATTTATTTAATGGTGTTCATCTTTCTTTTTGTCATTAGGAGAGACCAAAGTTCTTGCTGCAGTTTATGGACCCAAGGCTGGGACAAAGAAGAATGAAAACCCAGAAAAAGCTTGCATTGAGGTCATATGGAAGCCCAAAACTGGGCAGACTGGTACGGGACCTTGGCTTGTTCTGATTTTTTAGTAGCTAAAAAAATATTTATCGGATAGCACATGTTCATATAGGTTAAACAGGGTAGGTTATAAATACAGTGGTTACTCCTCACCTGGTTATCTCTGCATTCACTATGCAGGAAAACCTGAAAGAGAATGTGAGATGATATTGAAGAAAACTCTGCAAAGCATATGTCTTTTGACTGTTCATCCAAACACCACGACGTCAATTATAATTCAGGTAACTTGGAGCCTTTAAACTGATATGCAGACGTACTGATGTATTATATACCAGTATTTACTGATTTATGTTTTTAGTTATTTAAAACCCTTCTATGATAATGAATAGTTTCCTTTGTCTTGCCTGTTTAGTACTATTTAATGCTGGTAACTGATTTATGTTATGTTGTATCAATAGTGCTAAAGTTAAGTAATTGGAAGACGACTCTATGATGGATCTTTTTGAGGTTCTATTGGGTGGGAGATTAGTCAGAAAAGTCAGTTAGTCGGAAAAGTATTATATGAAGATTGATTGATGGCCATTATTTACGCTTTTCTTTTTTAACCTTACACACCTGAAGTTGTTTCTTCAAAGCTCTGAAATCCTTAGTATTAAACTATGCTGTGGACACGAGTTCAAGGCACAACATGTTCAAAACTCATTTTCACTCAAGAATAGCACGCATAATTTATTTCATGTGCAGTGTTTATAGTCATTGGCAACTTTTTTGTGTTTCCATAATTTAGTCAAGGACTCTGATCTTCTAACGTAAAGAGAATCAAACTCATAACTATTACCTCTAACTTACTTAGATTTATTTTGGCACTTTTGAGATTAGAAGTGTGCCCATATGCTAATTCCAAATTCATGAGCGTGTGGATGATTTTATCTCGCAGATGTTCTAATTTATCTCCATAAATTAGTCAAGGACTCTGATCTTCTAACGTAAAGAGAATCAAACTCATAACTATTACCTCTAACTTACGTAGCTTTACTTAGGCACTTTTGAGATTAGAAGTGTGCCCATATGCTAATTCCAAATTCATGAGCATGTGGATGATTTTATCTCGCAGATGTTCACGTCACTATTTCTTTCATTTTCAGGTTGTCCAAGACGATGGTGCTGTATCCTTCACTGCCATGACAACCTTTAATATTTGATAATGAAGCTTCTTTGCATTCCTTCTGAACAGCAATTTTGTTTTGGCTTTTATTTCTTTTTTCTCCTCTATTTGGGTCATATATTCAGTTCTATATCTGAAAACCATGGAAGTTGACTAGGATGTTTTGATAAGTTTTGTTTAATTACTAAGGGAACTTTTTCGTCACCTCCGGGGAATTGATTGTCCAAAATGGGATTTTCTTGTTACTTTTTAGACGAAGAGGAAGAGAACAATCACTAAGTAATTTACTTGATTTTGACTATATAGACCATCTGTCATCTTTTTATTTAGGTTTAAATAAATCATGTCATTGTTTCTAGTTTCTTTTCAGTTCGTTTTAGGTTTCTCCTTTCCTCTTACTCTTTCGAGTTGATGGTTCTGTTTTTCCATATGCCTTGGTAGTGTTCTATGATTATCGTTTCACTTATTTGGCTTGCTGCACTTTCTTCCCCATTCCCAATTGATTCTGTTTTTAATGAGATTTTAATACACCATCTATTTTTAAATGCCTAATCACTGAAGATCTCAAACTGAGTACTATCTTGACTTGTCAAAGAAGCCATTTCACATCTATTTTGTGCTACTTGCAATTGTTTTTTGTTTGATTTTTCTTTTCCTTGTAACTTCCGTTACTAAATCTGTTTGGATGCAATTTACCATTATTCTCACCATTAGTCAGTGTGTTTGAGATTTTTGTTCATATGCTATTTCATGTGTCAGATAGCTTTCATTTTAGTGAAGGATGCTGTTCCTTTTGATGCTATGCAAAATATGTTGTTCCCTTGGAATTCTTTGCTTATTTATGCTTGTACCTTGTTCATTCGCCTTCTCTACTCCATTATGTCTCTTCCTTAATTTACCTTGTTAAGCTTCTTCCCTGTGCAATAAATGCAGCCTGTGCTGCCCTTGTGGATGCTGGCATTCCTTTGAAGCATCTTGCTGGTAAGTCATGCATTAGTTGTTGATCTTATTTCCAGAGAAAGCAGAACTGTGTTGATTTGTGCTGATTGTTTTCTGTTGAAATCTTCAGTTGCAATTTGCTGCTGTCTGTCAGAAAGTGGACGAGTTCTGTTAGACCCCAACAAGTTGGAAGAACAGGTTAGTTAGTATTATATTTGTGTGTTGTTTTCTATGTGTGTGTGCATGCACAGATTGTATAATTTTAAACTTTCAAAATTGTGACTGCAGCATATCTGTTCTAGTCTTCTGATGTTGACAAGCACACTGTAAACTTTTCCAAATATGTGTTTCCTCAATTTGCCCTTTAGGAACGTTTCTGTTTAAAATTCTCCAACCAGACCTGTTTAGGTTATATATATTCTTTTTAGCAACTCTTTACTGTATTAGTTTTGGATATTCCTGCTATATTGTGCAGTGTGGAACTACGCATAAAATCTGCTCTAACTGATGTTTACTGTGTGGTGATTGCAGAGCATGAAAGGCTTTGTGTATTTAGTTTTTCCCAATTCCGTTCTTTCTGCCCTCCCTGAGGGATCATCGCAACTAGGAGGTCCACCAGTTCAACATGGAATTATCACATCTGTTACGCATGGTAGAATGTCAGGTGAATCTCCTATCCTTCTCTTCTTGTTTATGTCATTTAGGTTTTGCATTGAGGTCTACGTTTTGATATTCTTTAAATGATGGTTGGATCTAAAGATAGGAAAACTATTGGGTCCACCAATCTTCATGCTACGAAAAAATATACATAGTCAAGATGCTTTGGTCCAGAAGCGTTTCCATCTTATTATGTTATTTCAATCTGTTTTACTAGCTTTAAGCTCATCTCAATTTTCATTCTGGTGTCCATTTGAAAGTGATTGAAGTGATGGCTAACATTAAAGATAGGGAAAATTCTTGGTTCTCACGCTGGAAAATTTCTGGCTCTTTTCATTTTATTGCTTCCAGTTTTTCCTCAAAATGAGAAAGATGAGTTATGCTTTTCTGGTTAATTCTTGTCTTTTTGTGCTATTAATTTGAAACAAGGGCATTATTTAAACTAGGGGTTCCATCAGTTGAACATCCATACGTTTCTCCATCCTACTTATCGCCACTTCAGATGATAAATCCTGTCACTTACACTGCATTTAGGTATCTATCTAGAACCAAAAGCATTTGGTTTAAGAAGATAGTGCAGTGTGGAAAAGTAGCAGGCCTACCCTTGACTTGTTTGGAGGAAACCGTGTGGCAGTCACTTGATATCTATTGCCAGATCAAAGTAGTGGTTTTTTTTTTAATTTTTTTTTTATTTTAAATAAAAGAAGAAGAAGAAGAAAATTAATCCAGCTTATGAAGTGTATTTCAAAGTTTTACTGGTATACTACGTTTTAACTTGATAAATAAATAGGTCATCCTCATATCACTTTCTGCATACATAAAACATATCTCTAGGGTCACTATTTCCTTAGTGGTGGGCTTGGGAAGATGTTTCTCGTAGATGTGCTGATTTTCAATAATGTGGGTTGTGTTGCTAAATTCACATTTTACTAGTTGGACTTGATCATGATTCAAAACTTAACACTCCTTGCTGCATCTTTGTTTTTAGTGGATGATTACCTTCTCTGTGTTGAAAGAGGGAGAGCTGCTACCGAGAAGCTATCGGTTTTTCTCAGAAGAAGCTTGCAAACACAAATTCCAGGCGACAATTCTAAGGCTGGTTCATAGTTGGGAGTATAGAATATTGAAACATAGTTGGGAGTGTAGAATATTGAAATATGAGATTAGCGCTTCGTTGCGGCCCGTCACCTAACTCCATAGCCAGGTGGATTGGGTCTCGACAAGCTTGCATGTCACTCACCTGGATGTCATGTATATTGTAATGTTTGTTTTGTCTTGATGGTCAATAGTTGATTTGCCTTCAGCATAGAGTGGAAAGATAAGTTTTAGTAAGAAGATTGGGCGGGATATTTACTGAAATGTAACTCGTTTGTTAGTAAAAATCAATTTCTGTCTTTCGTGTTGTCTTTTTTTTTTTTTTTGGATCACATTATGGAATGTTGTTGTCATCATGTCATCTGGGAAGACAATCAGTGAACTGAAGCATCTTACTTTTATAATGATAGTTACACAAGTAGTTTTGTTTTGTGTGTAAAATTTGAGGAAAGCTTGTGAAAAGGAAATAAAAAAGACAAAGATACCTTCACTCAAATGAGTTATATGCTCTCAAACTGGAACAAAATTGTCCGAATCCCGGGCATCGTCGGAGGAGCCATTAGATAGCTACTGTACCAGTTAGCAAAGACCCCATCAATCAATTACATATGAGACGCGGCAATTCTATTACTATCATGAAGACTGAAGGGCCGTTGTGAGAAAGCATTCCTAGGAAGTATATACTCCTTCCAAAGCATGTCTAGGAAGTATATATTCTATCCGGTCCTTATTATAACATATTTTCATTTGTCATAAATTACTTATATTTTTCGGATTGAGAAAAAAATCTTAAAAATACATTATTATATTCTCTTAATTATTAATAAATATTTTTAAGTATTTTTTTTTCACAATCGGAAAAACATATTAAGTGAAACGTATGACAAATCAAAGTGCCTTATAATAAAGACCAGAGAAGTATATAATTCGGAGAATTAAAATTAAAGTGATTCTTTAAATCCACAAAACAATTTGTCATTTCTTCAAGAAGGAAAGGACCAACTAGCCCAGCATCTAACCCTTTATATGTTCTGATCCGAACAGGGTACATACTTATTCCCTTGGCATCTTTTAGTGTCTCGCTTATCTCATCTTTCCTACTTTTTCTTTGTATTTATATACCAAAGTTTTAAATTAATTTTTCCGAATTATAAAATGGGCGAAACATAATTAATTTAATATATATTCCGCAATGAACTGAATAAATATTGGCTAACATATATTACGTAACTACGTCGGGTAGCATTCTGTCTTCATTTGTAAGAGCCTGATGCCAATGTGTAAGATACGAAACATGGCATCTGATCATGATCAGGTAGTACGTAGTTCAACATAGATATAATAATAATTCACTTTATTAAACTAAAATAATACTCACTCCGCTCCTTAATATAAGACATTTTGATTTGTAATAAGTTTCGCCTAGTATACATTTTACGAAAAAACCTTAAAAATATTTCTTAACAATCAAGAAAACATAACAAATGTGAAAATATATTTTTAACATTTTTTTTCTTTGATTAAAAATACATATTAGGTAAAACTTAGGACAAATCAAACAATCTTATATTAAAGATCGGAGGAGTATAAGTGTATAACAAAATAAATTATTTTTCTGAGACGAAAGAAATAATTAGTTAAATTATATAAACCTTACTTTGATGAAAGTACCTTGTTCTCTTCGAGGCCATTGTTTGATTATTCGTCAAATATACAATAAAAATCTCAAAAATAATTCTCATTAAATTTTGAGATTTTTTCATGAATTATGTAAACATTTACTAATAAAGTACAATCGATTGAGGTCGGGTGGCAATCTATCTTTATTTGTACAAGCCCGATACCAAAGTACAAGCCATCCGAGGTAGTAGGTAGTTCAGCAACTATATCGTTCGTTCCTAAAAAAGAATTCACTTTATTGAAGTAAAATAATATAATAGAATATATATATATATATATATATACATATATTTTTTTTTCTCTGGACGAAAGGAATAGTCAGTTAGTCAATCGTATATATAAGAACCTTGCTTAATTGGTTTGATTAAGTTAGCCTTATTCTCTTCGAGGTCATTGTCCATTTGATTACTCGCCAAAATTCGATACAAACAGTTTCAAAACAATATGGCAACTTGGAGTACTCATAGGATCTTCAGTTCTCACGCACAAGGTCACAACCTTAAGCCTTCGGTTTCGAACAATAATTTTGATCATTTAAGGACCTCAAATCCATCCATGATCAAGGTTTGCAACTACTTAACTTTTAAAAACTCCTTGTGATTGAATTGATTTGGCGAAAGCTCATGCTTTTCGGTCCTTTGCACCGGAAAGGGGCCGGCCAGATATCTGTTGAATTCATAAAACGATTAGTTTGAGTGTGATATCTGTTGGTTTACACTGTAAAGTTATTTTAAATTCCCGGTATAGTGATAATTACTAATAAATTAATTTGATAATTACACGTGACAATGTTTTTTGTTTTTTTGTTTTTAAATAATGTTTGAGATCAACATCCAAAGGTGGAGCTGCCTGAGATTCCCAGTTTAGTACTAAAAGCTGCTTCCAGTATCATCAAAACCAGTTCAGTCAAGTTATTAGATGCGTTCGTTGATTCAGCATTTCAATTTGTTGATCAACCTTTGCTTCCATCCCAGGTAATTAACGGCTAACACTTAAAAAGTGATAATGGAAAAAATGAGTGAAAATTTAAATTAATCACATCTGTTCTAAATGAATACTATTTGATTAAATGGACCAGAGTAACTTTGCTCCAGTTGAAGAGATTGGTCACAGAGTCGCGGTGGATGTTGCTGACGGAAATATTCCAGATGATTTTCCTCAAGGGGTTTATGTCAGAAATGGTACGTGAATTTATTTATTTACTCATTACATTCTAAAATTATTTGAATTTTCACTTTTACTTCAATTTGTACCAAAAATAAAAATCCAAACTGGACAATAATTTAAGACGGAGAGAGTATTTGTTTAATCTTTCACACACACACACACACACAACATAATTATGATATTGAAATTTGGTCGTAGGTTCGAACCCCATGTTTGGAGCCCAAAAAACAGCAAAGTCAATGTTTGGAAAATCAAATGAAATATGGGTGGAAGGCGAAGGGATGCTTCATGCATTGTACTTCTCCAAAGATAGCCATGGCGAATGGACAGTCTCCTATCACAACAAGTACATCCAATCGGAGACTTATGAATTACAGAAGCGCAGAAACAAACCCGCCTTCCTTCCGGCAACTGAAGGCGATTCGCTGGCCGTCTTATCTGCTCTCATTCTAAATTCGGTAAATACAAACTACTACAAATAATAGTCCTACTGTCCTAATTAATTATCAGAAAAAAAACACGATAAATAAAATTTAGAATAAATCAAAATACTTTGATAATTAAAGGCCAGAGGGAGTATATAACTACCTTTGTAATCAATCATTCGATTGATTCCTCATAGTACTAGCTACTTAATTGGGCAGTTGAGGTTTGGTCGACCAGACAAACTTCTGAGCAACACCAATGTGTTTGAGCATTCGGGAAAGTGTTACACGATATCGGAGAATCATATGCCACAAGAAATCGACATTTCTACTCTCAACACTATAGGGAATTGGAAGCTTAGTGCCATTTGGAATCGGCCTTTCACTAGCCACCCTAAGGTATAAAAGTGCTAACTAATTATTTCTTTTGTCTATTAATTTAATTCTCATCTTCCTCACAAATATAGTTGAGTATGCTAATTGTATATGTAATGCACGTACAGAAAGTTCCTGGTACGGGGGAGCTTGTTATCATGGGATTTAATGCGCAGAAACCATATCTTGAAGTTGGAGTTCTATCAGGTACTGTTGGACTATAAGATTTCAGCAAATTTCTTAAATGTAAACTTTGTGAATTATAAATGGAAAGTTGGCATCCGTCATAAAAATATTAATAGTGTCATTCTTAAAACTAATTAAGATAGTTCATCATCAAATTAATATGATTATTAATTTTCTGGAACAAGGGATTAAGATTCTCTAAAAATACTGTTGCCCACACTTGTATACAAAGTATTGATTATGTCTTCCGTACTTTTGCTGAATCAGAAACTATCTTTTGTTGTTTTGTTATTTCACGACAAGAAATATGGTAGATGTCTTGCTTTGAGCTCTTAATGAAAAAACGTTACCTAGCTATGCATTTTTGCCCATTCGTACCTTTTACTATTTTGCAGTAACGCATATATATCATATCTCTGCAGCTAATGGACAGAAATTCCTCCATAGAGTGGACCTCAAATACAATAGATGTACATTTTGTCATGAGATTGGGGTTACCCAAAAGTAAGCATTGTTTCGCCTTTTTTGGGAGTTGATTAATTATATAGTAAACATTTCCTATGGAGTATTAGAAAGTAACGGATCTAGTTTCAACGTATTTCTGATGGCTAGGTACACTGTGATTCTGGATTTTCCGCTAATAGTAGACACAAATAGACTCATCAAGGGAGGGCCGTGAGTTCTTTGAACCCTCTTATTTTTTCCACTTATATTTGTAATATATGTTATTTTAATTTCGGAGAAATGATCGATACACATAGTGATAATTTATAGTAAAATAAATTAGTGATTAATGAAAAGACAAAAAAATCATATCAATCTTTCAATAACTACAAAGATAATAGGGGACGATTATGAATTTTCACATGTAATATATCACTCATTATTTCATTTCACTACACATTTTTACTATTTCATTACTACGTACGCATATTTCCTTCCGTCCCAAAATAAATATTCTACTAACAGAAGGTCAACCGTAACTTTGTTGATAATTTTTTCTTGCCTCATGCATAGATTGATTAGGTTTGAAAAGGAACAAATCGCCAGGATTGGAGTAATGCCTCGTTATGGAACCGCTGATTCGATTAAATGGTTTGAGGTCGCAACTGCCAGTGTGTTCCACTTATTCAATTGTTTCGAAGAAGAAGATAATGAGGTGACCATTATGTCCTTCTATACCCCACGAGAACAAGTATTTAAACATTTTGTGTTGAGTTTTTACTGTTTGTTTTACTATATATTAATCAGTTTCTTTGATGACTAATTCCATAAGTGTGATGAAATGAATGCAACTTTTTTTTTTAAGCAAAAAGGAAAAAAGAAACATAGTAGATTGAAATACTATATATACATATATAATAATAATAATAATAATAATCTGCGGAGGAGAATATATTATAATTTGCCTCAAATGATCTAATCATAATAATGAAATCTGTTAGGTTGTGGTAAGAGGATGTCGAGCTCAGGGATCGATCATACCAGGACCTGACTTAGGGTTGAACAAGTTTGAGTGGTATTCTCGAGGATTCAAACTTGTGAACTCTGTTGATCAGAAGGAAATAAATTCCCAAGATGGAGCCCTATTTAGTTGTGCTTATGAATGGAGGTTGAACATGGAAACTGGAGTGGTTAACGAAAGAAATCTGACAGGAGACGAGTTCTCCATGGATTTTCCAATGATTAATGAATCTTTCGTGGGTACCAAGAACAAATTTGGTTACGCACAAGTCGTCGATTCATTTGGAAGCTCTAATGCAGGTAATTTGTGAGATTAGATATTCTGTCCCAATTATTTAATTTTTGAACTCATATATAGAGTATCATTGAGATTAATTCAAAGCGATATATAATTATTTGAACAATGATACTATAAATAAGACTAAAATGTCCAAATGGTCCCTTACATTTGGGCCTACTTGAATTTAACTCCTTTACATTAACATTTCAATATCGTAGTCCCAAACATTATGTTTTGACACTTTTTTAGTCGCATTTCACTGTTTTCCGCCGTTGACATGCCGGAATCAGGAGTATTTTTGTCTTTTAATTTAATTTAAATTTTTATTAAAATTTAAATAATTAAAAATATTTTAAAATTCAAATTTCATTATTTACTTGTTAAAATATTATTTATTAATTAAAAATATTATTTTACAATTTAAAATTTATCATTATTTTCAAAATTAATATTTTTTTATTTACTATTTACTTTAAGTATACAGTAAATAGTAATTATATTGCACTTTCAACTTTGGACCCACTATAACTTAAAAAATTAACAGAGTTACAGTAAATAATTCAAAATTCAATTTTTTTTAAAAAAAAGAAAAATAAAAAGCAAAACGAAGATTTTTTTTACTCTTACCGCTATAGCAAACCCTAAATGATAATTATGTTACACTTTTAACCTTGTAACCACTGTAACTTAAAAAATATACCGAGTTACAGTAAATAATTCAAATTTTTTTTTTTAAGAAAAACAAAACCAAGATTTTTTTTTTACTTTGACCGCTACAGTAAACCCTAAATGGTAATTATAATACACTTTTAACCTTGAACTCACTGTGACTTAAAAAATTTACCGAGTTACTGTAAATAATTCAAAATTCAATTTTTTTTTTTAAAAAAGGCAAAACCACGATTTTTTTTACTCAGACCGCTATAGTAAACCCTAAATAGTAATTATGTTGCACTTTTAACCTTAGACCCACTGTAACTTAAAAAAATTTACCAAGTTACAGTAAATAATTCAAAGTTCAATTTTTTTTTTCCAAAAAATGGAAAAACTAAGATTTTTTTTACTCTGACCGCTACGTTGCTTTTTTAACGTTGGACCTACAATAACTTAAAAAATTATCGAATTACAGTAAATAATTCAAAATTTATTTATTTTTAAAAAAAGAAAAAAGCAAAACAAAGTAATTGACTGCTACAATAAACCCTTATGTTGCACTTTTAACGTTGGACCCAATGTAAAAAATTTGCCGAGTTACAGTAAATAATTTAAAATTCAACTGTAGCAGTAAAAGTAAAAAAAAAATCTTGGTTTTGCTTTTTCCTTTTTTTTTTTAAAAAAATGAATTTTGAATTATTTACTATAACTTGGTAAATTTTTTAAGTTACAGTGGGTCTAAGGTTAAAAGTACAACATAATTACTATTTACTTTGACCTAAGATAAATGATAAACGAAAAAATTAATTTTGAAAATAATGTAAACTTTAAAACTTATAATAATATTTTTAATTAATAAATAATATTTTAACAATTACATAATGAAATCTGAATTTTAAAATATTTTTAATGATTTAAATTTTTATTAAAATTTAAATTAAATTAAAAGACAAAAATACCCCTAATTCTGGCATGTCAACAGCCGGAAATAGTGAAATGTTACTAAAAAAGTGTGAGAACATAATGTTTGGGACTACGATATTGAAATGTTAAGGTAAGGGACGTAAATTCAAGTAGGCCTAAATGTAAGGAACCATTTGGACATTTTAGTCCTATAAATAATTTCTCCCTCAAAGAAAAAAAATATAATATTTCATCTGTACAAATTTGAAAACTCAACGCGATTATTTTCTTGAGATGGCGGCAGTCTATATAGTAATAATTTCTCCCTCAAAGAAATGAAGGAAAATTATGCGTATCACATTGTCTTCTTGTCAGGCACAGTGAAGTATGGCGGGCTGGCCAAGCTCTATTTTGATGAAAATCAAATTGTATGTTCTTCGGTAAAATGCATGCCCCTAATAATTATCACATCCTTATATTCATCATTTAAAATGCTTTCCAATTACTTATTTCGATCGTTTTAATTCCAAATAAATTAAGATAAAATGTGGGAAGTTTGTCTTTGATTTCGTTGAGTTTGATTAACATTATTCATGGGATTGATTAGGGCAATGAGGAAAAGGTAAAGGTTGAGTATCATATGTTGCCAAAGAACACATATTGCTCGGGAGCTACATTTGTTCCAAAAACAGGACTAGGTCTTGAAGAAGATGATGGCTGGATTATTTCATTTGTCCACAATGAAGATGATCACAAATCTGAGGTAATTTCTCTTTGTTTTTTTTTTTCTCCTTTTTTTATAATAATCATCTTCCATCAAATATATGCAAACAAACACCAGAAAGAAACAGAACACAAACCCATCAAAATTTTCACATATGTAGCTTTAAATCATGCTGCAGCCAAATGGTCTCTACCTCACAAATTACTTAGTCTAATTTATTAAAGTTCCAGTTTTTTTAGACACAATTATTATTATTTTGAGACCAAACACAAATAATAAAAATTGAGCTTCATTCAGAGAGAGAGAGTGTGTGTGTGTGTGTTCTTGATTCGTGTTTTTTTTTTTTTTTAATAAAAATTTGCAGGCCTACATAGTTGATGCCAAGAGATTTTCAAGCCAGCCAGTAGCTAGAATTGCACTGCCAAGTAGAGTGCCATACGGGTTCCATGGAACTTTTGTATCCGCGTGACTTTCAAAAATTTCAAAGGAGCAACTCCGCTGGATCTGTAGTAGTTATGCCTAAATTTACTGAGCAAATTCCACACAGTGTAGAATTGTACTACAATCCAAAGCAATAAGTTTGAGCAATAAAAGTCTAAAAATTGAAATACGGGATCATAGTTTGTTACATTAAAAAAAATACATTTGTGTTTTAATTTTTCTTTTAATGTACCACTACCTAAAAACAATATTTTAATAAGACAATCAAAATTTAATTTTAAAACGAAAGAAATATTTTAAATTCAGCTCGATTAGAACAAAATCCCACTGTGAAACATTCGTTTACCTAAATTAGTTGGCATAGTTATTTGACGCAACGTTCCGCAAGAAGAAATAATTCAAAGAACAATTAAAAAATAAATGTGAGAAGAGATACTTTGAATACTATATTGTGTGTGGCTTAAATTTAAAAGACTGAGATAGAAGCCTATTTATAGGCTGTCTATACATGATAACTAAACTAAACCTATCAACTTATCATTCCAATCTATCTATTAAAACTAAACAAAGACTCTTCTTTATTATCTCCTTTTCATGACTTATCTATAACATCCTCTCTCTTTAACATCCTCCCTCAAACTGAGTCGGGGTTGGAGAGACAGTTTGCTTCTTGAGTGATTCTGACTGCACTTTGGACTGCTTTCCATATGAATGGTGAGATTACAAGTGATGTAATGTGTGATTTTGAGTGGTGTACTCAAATTGTTGAATTGTTAGAAATGTTTTAGAAACGCCACTGCTGTGTTAAATTGTTGCATGACAAGTCCAATCTCTTCTTCAGAGAAGTGATCGAACATTTGCCATGATGTGGATTTTGGTAGATTGACACAGATATATCTTTCTGTTTGTCAACTACTGATTTTTTTTCTTTTTTAGATCAACTGAATTTGATCTTCGTGAAAAAAAAAAAGAATTTGTAAAAATATGTGATGGTGGACTGGGTGAGGTACGTGAATGGATTGGATCAAGTTAGACTGGTTGGAGTGATATTAGAAAATAAATTTGTGGGAAAATCACAAAAGTATATATGTTTAATGTTGGAAGGAGAACATTACGAGAGTAATGAATTTGACGAATTTGGCATTTGAATATGAGATAATAATATAGAAGAGTGATGATTATTTCTTGAAAAGAAAATACGCGGAAGCAAGGCTACAGAAGCAGGGCGAAACCTGCTCTGATATCAAGAAAAAAATGAGAATTCTAAGAACAATTAAAAAATAAATGAGAGAAGAGATACTTTGAATACTACATTGTATCTGGCTTAAATTTAAAAGACTGAGATAGAAGCCTATTTATAGGCTGTCTACACATGATAACTAAATTATTTCTATTACTAGATAATAATGAAATAAACTAAACTTATCAACTTATCATTCCAATCTATCTATTAAAACTAAACAAGAACTCCTCTTTATTATCTCCTTTTCATGACTTATCTATAACATCTTCTCTCTTTAACACCGCATAGGTGGAATCGAATGTATACTTCTCCCCTAACACATCGATCTCAAGGCCTTCTATTTAGAGGCTAGGTTTTTATTTTTATTTTATTTTTTGTAATGGTGTGATTTGCTCATTATAAATTCCTTTTCGTATATTCTTTCCCCTCTCCCCCAATCAAAATTCAACCATTTAATCTACTCTCCCCTTTTGAAAAAACTTATAAGAGGATATCACTATAAGAGGTAGATTCATTCATGGTTGTTAAAGAAATTAAGTTTATTTTAGCTTTGGGCATTTGGAAATCATAAAATCTAATGTAAATTTTACCGTTTTTCTAAATTTAATTACCTCTCATGATATCTAATTAAGGTGAAAAACTGATATGTAATTAGGGATGAACATGTTGCTTGGTCAAAATTCAATATTTCCATTCCATCCAGCTCATTTGTGATGATTGATGGGGTGTCAAGCCACACAAATAAATTAACCTACTTCAAACTACGTAGTATAGAGAAGTAAAGTCGTCTCCTCAGAGAACGATGGATTATTTCCTTCAAATTAATGCAAAGATGGATTTTTGGATTGTTGTTCTAAATCTATGATAATGAAATTCAAATAACAAAAACTAAATAAATGAAAAGAAATCAGAGGAACAGACTTCTGACTCAATGGACAGATAACTCAATTATTTCATTAATCACAGGCTATTAAAACTACTCTTGCAATTTAAGCATTCAACCAAAGATCTATTAGGATAGCCGTAATAAATCGATTAATCTCCCTAAATTAACTAACCAAGTCTAGCACTCAATTAGTCCTTATCATAATTCGGCTGGGCACGATAGCGTTCCATACCAAACAATGACAGCAAAAATATCAAGAAAATATAGTTGAACCAAAATCTAAACAATTGAGATAGCTGCAACTATTCAGACTTTGCCTCATTGATTCCACATTTAAACTAACATGCATATTCAATGTCTCACCAATACACATGCTTTGTCTAATTGCTACTCAGTACTGCCGGTTCTTATCTATTACGTAACATTCAACTAGCAGATAGCACTAGAAAATAAATAACAAATCAAGTTGTCAATTTGAGTTATATCTACTTTCATAACTCAATACAAGAATCAACAAATACTTAAATTATAGGCAAGAACAATAAATTAAGAACAAACCCTCATAATGGAATAACTGAATAAATCCCTTGAATCAGAAAGAAATCCTTAGTCACTCATGAACGGAAACATGGCGGCTTTATTCTCCATGAAAATTCAAGAAAAATTGGAAGAAATAAAAGGTTTGAGGTGCTAGCCTTTGGCCTATGCACGGCTGCCCACAAAAATAAAACAAAAGTCTATTTTAAAAAGAACTTTAGATCAGACGCTGGAGAAGAAAAAAGAGATCCACGATTTGTAATTTTGGTCCCTCAAGTTTGTAGTGTTTTCACTTTTTCTCCAAAACTTCTTTAATTTTTCATTTAAGTCCCTGATCGTGCAAAATTATCCAAAAAATAGCTCCAATCTCTTATTTTCAACTCCTAACAAGAAATAATAACTAAGCTAATGAATTAAACCCATCCGAGTCCATAAACTAGTAAAATAAGAACAATTAAAACACAATTTATGAACTCTATCAATGATGCTGATGTACAGCTCATTCGAAAAACATTCCAGACAAAGTGACCCTCCAAAATGTGTAGTTTGTAACCAAGCGAAGATCCACTGCTAGTACTTAACGAGAGGAGAATCGGAGACTTTATACTCATCTTAACCTATTTTTAAAGTGGCCACAAGCGCAAATAGTAATACTTCTTCCGTTTCAAAATTATTGGTCACTTTAGTACAATTTAAATTAAAGTTTAAAATCTAATCTGGATAATAATTTTAGGACAAAAAAAATATTTTATGATTTTTTGTAACACGTTATCTATAGTCGACAATAATAAATAACATTTTTACTATATTAATGTAGTAATATCTCAATAAGTAGGAGGACTAACAAAAAGGATTTGAAACTGGAACATATACCCAAATTGGAATCGGCGCGAGTCCCCTCGACAACATTGGTCAAAAGATGGACAAGTTTATTCCACTTTATTCACAACGTACGCATTGTTAAAAAAAAAATTTGTAAAACGTTACAAGAAAACATTCATTGGTTTGGTATTTTCTGTTCGGACAATATGATCACACACCACCAATAACTAGGGCCATAACATGTCAAGTTGCTCGAAATAGTACACATTTGTCAAAGTTGATTACCAAAAGCCAATTGGCTGAGACACTCTGCCAAAACCGAATAACTTTCAATCTACACCCTTATATGTTTTGGTAATCAAGCGTTAGTGATTGCAAGAATCAATTTTTAGAATCTCAAGGGAGTGCACATCATTAGGTTCGAATTTGTCGAAAATCATCAGAATCGACAATATATCTATAAAAATAGGTCACATAACTTTGTCCATTCGTTTCTCAACTCTTTCAATAAAGAGTCTTTAGACTCTTAGGCAACGGTCGTGCCCTCTTGGCTGTTTTCCCCGATAAAAATTGTTCAAACAAGAGAACAAGACAGAGTTTTCTTTTCATTATACGAATTTAATTGATACAAAAATAAGATTCACAAAGAATATGCCTATTTATAGATAGTGGCAATCTAAAGATTCAGAACCATAATAAATAGTTATCGTCTTTAGGGTTGTTTGTTATTCATAACCCTAAAAGACTACGGAGAAACAATGGCTAGTTGCTGCAGTTATAGGATATTCAATTGCCATGCACAAGATTCAGTTCCCAACAAGTTAGTTCATTTCAATAAGAGATCGAATTCATCTCTGATCATCAAGGTTTTCCCTACCAAACTTCTCTACAAGTTATTTAACAAAACAATATTGTTAATTTGTTTTTGAATTTTTATGGTTCTCATAAAGTAATGATTAATTTGGATGTGTTTGGTCAACACAGCCAAATGTGGAGCTCCCGGAAATTCCCAATCTAGTACAAGCAGCTTCCAATGTGATCAAACAAGCTTCAATCAAGTTACTAGATGCATTCTTTGAGTCCACATTTCAATTTGTTGATCAGCCTTTGCTTCCATCGGAGGTAAACATTGTAGTCCTAACACTTGAAGAAAAAGAAAAATATCCAGGTCAAATATATTTTATTCCGAATGCATAAACTTTCCTTTGATTCACTACAGAGTAATTTTGCTCCGGTTGAAGAGATAGGTAAAAGAGTTGAGGTGGATATTGTTGAAGGAGAGATTCCAAATGATTTTCCTCAGGGAGTATATGTCAGAAATGGTACTTCACTAAATTTCTTATTCTTAATTTTAATCATCTCAATTATATACCACTCCATATTTTCTTTGGAAAAACAAAAACTAAAGTTGATTAACTTTTAAGAAAAAAAGCTAAAAAAAAAAGCAACTACTCCCATGTCTATCCCAAAAAATAGTCTAAAATGATCAGTTTTCAAATTTATACTAAAAATAATACAGATCTCCTTGTGTTTCAAAAAATAATCCACACGAATGAGTTTTCAAATTTGTACTTAAAAATAGTACATATATCAAATTCAATTTGGACCATTTTTTTTGGGAGGGGACATATGTGGTATAATCTAGTTCGTAATTAAAGATGTTTGGATGCCTAATTTTGTATCGCAGGTTCGAACCCTATGTTTGGAGCCAAAAAGGCAGCTAAGTCGGTGTTCGGAACATCATCTGAAATATGGGTGGAAGGTGAGGCAATGCTGCATGCTTTGTACTTGTCCAAAGACAACAATGGCAAATGGACAGTAAGCTACAACAATAGATATGTCCAAACAGACACTTATAAGCTAGAGAGGAAAAGAAACAAACCGGCATTCCTTCCTGCGGCCGAAGGCGATTCACTCGCAGTTATCTCTGCTCTTGTTCTAAATTCGGTAAACCCAAAATGCATTTATAAATATTGGGCTAATGGTGTAAAAAAATAAATGTGAAGTAATTTTCGTTTTGGTGGCCATTGTTTTTTACCTTTTATGCAGTTGAGATTTGGGGTGCCAGACAAACTTCTGAGTAATACCAATGTGTTTGAGCATTCGGGAAAGTGTTACACCATATCGGAGAACCATATGCCACATGAAATCGACATTTCTACACTCAACACTGTCGGGGATTGGAAGCTTAATGCTGTTTGGAATAGGCCTTTCACTAGCCACCCTAAGGTACAAAATATGTGATTAAAATATTCTTTTAACTAATCATGAGCTCACGTTAATTTGTCTGTATGGCTTTTGGTTTTACACTCTATATATGTAACTCTTAACAAAAAAACAATACTTGTGTGTACTTAATCGCATTCCAGTCTTGGTTCATTTAACATTCCTTTTGGATGATATGAATAAAGAAGATGTGTCAAATTATAATTACTATTATAACTTGTTACATATATACACACGAAATGCGATACCAAAAAATATTTTGAACCACTTTTATTTACATGTTCCAGATGTACTGAAAGTTATATTCATAATTAATGTAGAAAGCTCCTGACACCGGAGAGCTTGTTATAATGGGGTTTAATGCACAGAAACCATACTTCGAAGTTGGCATTTTATCCGGTAAGCTTTTATTTTATTTACTTTCAGGTTTCCTTTCCTCCGAGATGATTGTATATTTTAAATTTTCATTTTAATACAAATTATATTTAATCAAAAAATTTAAACGTACCAGTAATTATGATACTAAGGAATTATATAATTAATTTGGTCAAACTACAAATATCCTCATCTTTGAGTCATGATGTGACCAAGGCCACATTGGTAAAATTACCAAAAAGGGCTAAAAATTCTAACATGAACCAGATTACCAATGTGTGAAAAGACTCGAACATCCAATTATTTAGTACTTTCATTTTCTCGTTTTAATTTTTAGTTTTTTATTATACTAATTTTTTTTAATAAAATTGACTATTAAAACAAATTAGTTAGGATCTTTTGGTCACTTAACAAATCGATATATATATGAGTAAATATATTTAAATTTCAGCCTTAAGAGAGTTGCTTTTACTCCCCTTTGGTTATACATAGGTACGTCCATTTCCCTCCATGACATATCGCCTAACTCTCATTTGAATATTTTTCAGCTGATGGACAGAAATTCCTCCATAGAGTGGACCTCAAATACAATAGATGTACATTTTGTCATGAGATTGGTGTTACCCAAAAGTAAGTGCCCAATTGATTTTTCAAGTTTCGAGTTTGCGAACCATTTTAATATTAGACAATTAATTTGGGATTTGTAATTGTAATTTTAACATATACATTTTTTCCCAACAATTTAATCTAGGTACAATGTGATTTTGGATCTTCCTCTAACTATAGACATCAATAGACTCGTCAAGGGAGGCTCGTGAGTACTTCAAACCATATAAATTTAGCATTATTATTTTTTATTAAATGTTATATATGCATGGTAGTACGTACCATCATTTATTTATTTATTTTTGGCCATTTATGTAGATTGATTAGGTTTGAGAAAGATCAATTTGCTAGGATTGGAGTGATGCCCCGTTATGGCGATGCTGATTCAGTTAGATGGTTTGGTGTAGAAACATGCTTTGTATTTCACATGTTCAACTGTTTCGAAGAAGAAGATGAGGTGATCATAATTCTTTTCCATAATAACTATTATCCATCTTTTAATTTGTTAATTTGGATTTTATTCCTAATTATTAGAGCAGAAACGTTAAATTAAGAGACCAATGTGAAACATTTCCAGCTGGTTATTAGGAGCTCAGAGAACCATTCAGGGATTCACTTGTTAAAAAAAAAAAAAAAACTCTAGATGATAAGTTTACTTCAGTACTTGTCAAAGTATATAAGGAATTTGAGCTTCTATCATAAAATCAATTGGCAATAAATGGAGTGATTCTTAAAATTTATATACACATGCATTTCTCTTCATGCTGGCGATGTGGGACAATAACAATACTAATCAAATCTCACAATGAAAAATATCTAGGTTGTAGTTAGAGGATGTCGAGCCCGTGGATCGATCATACCAGGACCCGACTTAGGGTTGAATAAGTTGGAGTGGTTTTCTCGAGGATTCAAACATGTGAACTCTGTTGAAAAGAATGAAGAAGAAAACTTTCAAGATGGAGCTCTATTTAGTCGTGTTCATGAATGGAGATTAAACATGCAGACTGGAGAGGTTAAGGAAATGAATCTTACTGGGGACGAGTTCTCCATGGATTTCCCAATGATTAATGAATCTTACGTTGGCATCAAGAATAAATATGGTTATGCACAAATTGTTGATTCATTCGCAAGCTCTGATGCAGGTAACGCTTTTTCCGTAATAACTATGTTACATGCATTAAAGAATGATGTATACAGATTCATCTCTATTTATCTATTGAATTAATCAGGTGCAGTGAAATATGGTGGGCTCGCGAAGCTCTATTTTGATGAATACCAACCCCAATTTTGCTCGGTAAAATCCCCTTTCGCGACTACATTTGATTTAATTAGCAATTTTTCTTTTTTTTTTTTTTTTTCTTTGGAAAGAAAAACTAGTTTGTACTATCATAGTTTTATTTTTCTTGGCGGTGGGATGATTATTAACTCTATGCGGGAGTCAGGATGACGAAAAAGCGCACGATCAAAAAAAGGTGAATGTTGAGTATCACATGTTGCCCAAGAACACATATTGCTCAGGAGCTGTATTTGTGCCTAAATCTGGAGGTCTCGAAGAAGATGATGGCTGGATAATATCATTCATCCATAATGAAGATGATCACAAATCTGAGGTACTATATTATATTGCACTCCATCTGTCTCATAATTATTGTCCAGAGTTTTCATTTCTAGTTCAAATTATACTAGAAGTGAAATCTCAAACTGAATAATAATTTTGAAATAAAGAAAGTATTTTTTCCCTCCACAGGTTATCCACACACACCAAGCCAAATTTCAGAAAGAGTTGGATAAATTAACTTTCCTTTCTTTCGAGAATAGTTGCTCTCTATGTTTTAGAATATATATAGTCAATTTTATTGTATTATTACTATTCAACAAAATGAACGATTTTTCTGTGACAAAAAAAAAAGAAAAGAAAAGAACTATTTTAACTATGTATATACCTTTCTTTTCATTTCCAGGCCTACGTGGTGGATGCAAAGAAGTTCACAAGGCAGCCAGTAGCCAGGATTGCATTACCAAGTAGAGTGCCTTATGGGTTCCATGGAATGTTTGTGCCCATGGACTTGCAGAATTGAAGTTGTTAGTAAACTTGTACTCTCCTTAAAATTATTGACTAATTTGGATATTTACTTTTATTAGTACAATTTATACTATAAAAATAAAAATTTAAATTAGACAATAATGGGAATCATCCGGCGGGAGAAAGTTCCAAAATCAAGGAGTGTATTGTAGCGGTTAGACCAATAGTTTGGGAAAACAAGTGGAGTAGAAAAATCTAAAATTAATCTTTGACACTTTACTCCTCCTTAATGCTAATCCTTTATCCATAATTCTCAAAATTTATTCTTTTCAACTAAATCGTGCATATGCCGTTCTTATCAAACGAAACTGGATCATTTCATGCCAAGCGAGCCGGGAATCCTGTATCATATTGTTCTTTTTATGTAACTGAACCCCGCTTGTGGTTAAACCTGTTTATAGAGTTGTTTTGTGAAAAAAAAAAAGAAAAAGAAAGAGGTAAACTTTATCCTTGCGCCTCTTGAAGGTGAAGATAAGTGACGAAGGCGAACTGAATGATGATGATTCTAGAACTTGTTCTTATAGATCATCAAAGGTAATTCCCCGAGCCAATGGTGGTTAATTTGATGTGCCCTTACCAAAACAAAATGGCTTTTCTAGTGGAACCCTCTGTGATCTCCTTGTATATTACGAAACAAAAAGGATGAATGAAGGAATTCGAGAATCTTGAGAAAAGCACTTCAAATTGGTTCCATTTTGTCGAGATCTAATCAAAGGGGTAGCAAGTTTTGTCCATTAATTAGTTCTTAATTAACGCATTAGGTAAAGTCTTATCAATACTCCATTATTTATGCTCTAAATTTGACAAACGGGGAGCAAAAATATGGGATGATGTATTGGGGGCCATACGTACATTTCACACTCCTTGTTGTAATTAAATTTTACAACTGGTTTTATTTATGCGCTACGTACGTAGATATCAAAAGTTTAGAGTGATTGGTTAATTTTGTACGAGGAGTGGGGTGTCCGAATCCCCGCCCTCAATATTCGTATTCGATCTAACAACTTTAAATTCCTAGTTTAGTCGTATAATTCATTGAAATACTCACAATTAAGTCAACTAAAAGATTATACTGTATCATTTCTCTATTGTTGATAATTGTATATGGACATGCTGCCACATTTGTATTTTATTTTTTTAAGAATAGAATATATAAGAAGAAGAACTTTAATAATTCATTCGATGTAACAAAATTGGTGAGTTTTCAAGCCAGGTCAATATTGATCCATGCATCCTGGATAGCTAGCTATACCTGGGTAGTTGACACCTCCACACCACATGTATGCCTCGCCCCCTCAAAATAAATGACCTACATATAATGTATATGTATCCATTGTTTTAATTACTTTTCTTGTTCCATCGCTTTCATGTTGGCCTCCTAAACACTACAACTTGAGAATTGTTTTCTGTTAAAACAATACACTTACTCGTTGCTTTCATCATCATCATCATCATCATTATTATTATTATTATTTATTATAACTTAAAAATTGATGAGGAATCAAGGTGTCAAGTGTGCATACAAATGAGCGGAGCTCATGAACAAACCACCTCCGCACCCTCCAAAAGAAAAAGGATCATGACAAGAGGATATATGTATGTATTTTATAGATAAACCGATTTATAATATACTAAAGCTGCCCCTAAAAAATTACAAACAAATCATCAAAAATATTATCATTCTCGTAGCATAAAAATATCAATCTTAGACGGAAACCTATGGTACCTTAGTTAGTTAGCTACCGGCTGTGCGTGCAACTCAATTTCTAAATTATATTCGTTGAATATTCTTTCCTTACATAATTTGATACGTATTTTTTTCATAGTGCTTTTCGTATTAAACATATCGATAGAGCAACTTGGTCATTTCAAAATTTCTACTACTCGTTCTACATATCTTGAATTAATTAAAGGCCTGGCTAGAGGCCACCCTGTGTATATATACATATACAAAAACCTTGAACATAATATCTGTTCTTTCGGAGTGATTAAGAATGGCTACCAGCAGTGCCTACGTTAATGCATTATTCCCAGTTAATTCTTCAGTCCAAAAGCCGTTAGTTTCCTGCAAAAGTAATCATGTGATCAAGGCTTCACTCTCTTCTTCGATTAAGGTAGCCGATTACAATCTCTCTTAATTCGTTCCCTCTCTACGCAAATTAATTAATTTGTAGTCTTTCTGTCCTAAAAATATACACAATTCACTACATATTTTCTTTTGGGACGAAGAAAGCATTATTTGTATGTATTTTGGTAGTGATGATTGGTCATATATTTGCATTCTATTTTGTGAGATGCATCTCAAATATCCGTCGAATGATATGTTACGCTCGTCTGAATTCCTGCAATTGTATCATTTACATATCCTTTGGTAAAATGATCATATACATCGTTTTATTCAGAAATATTATGCTTACTGCCGGGGGGGGAGGGGGGGGGGGTGGTGGGGGTGTCCTTGGTTGCATGATCACTCTTTGAGTGGATCTCATTTCAATCAAAATCTGTATATATATATCCGTACTTAGGAAAGATCGGTACGTACTTTTTCACTCTGAAATCTTGTAAACAGCCATATCTGAAGGAGCTGCCACGGATCCCAAATTCAGTAGTACAGGATGTTCCAAAGCTGTTGAAGGAGGCTTCAATCAAGTTAGTGGATACAATTGTTGACTTGACCACTGAATTTACTGACCAGAATATTCTTCCGTCTCAGGTACGTACTTACCTTCTTTTTTTTTCCCCCTAATTATTTAGGGGATAGAAAAATGATACTCCCTGAAATAAAGTAAAATTTGGACTTTATATTAAAATGAGACGAATGAAATAGTGGTTTCATTTAGTTTACATATCTCATTATGAGAATCAATTACTCTACGGTTTGTATATATGTATGTGTAGTGATGTTAAATCAGCTTGTAATATTTGCATTTATAAATAGAGTAACTTCGCTCCAGTGGAAGAAATAGGAGAAGCTATTTCGGTGACTGCCATTGAAGGATGCATTCCAGATGATTTCCCGGAAGGTGTTTATATACGAAACGGTACACCCCCATTAGAGCACACATATACTTCTAAGATTTTTTTTCCGGATCAAAATATTCACATTTGGTCAAATTGAAATATGTTACTCCTTCTGTCCTAAAATTATTGTCTAGTATGAGATTTCACTTTTTTAGTATGATTTGAACTAAAAATAAAATCTAAACGATGACGATTTCGATGAATTAATATGTGACTTTTCGTTTGTGTATGGTACATATATGAAGGCCCAAACCCTCCATTTGGGTCACTAAGATCTTCAAAATCGATGTTGGGAATCACAAATGAAATGTGGGTAGAAGGTGAGGGAATGGTTCATTCCTTGCACTTCAAGAAAGATGAAACCGGGGTATGGATAACGACCTACAATAACAAGTACATACAAACTGACACTTTAAAACTAGAGATGGAAAGAAACAAACCAGCATTCCTTCCTTCCACTGAAGGGGACTCGCCCGCTGTTATCGCTGCAACTCTGTTTAATATGGTATGTGTCCGTTTAAAACACGTCATTAATTAGTACATAAAAGAAAATCACAGTATATTAATTTTTTTCGTTTTTGTTTTATAGTTGAGATTTGGCCGTGCTAATAAACAGCTAAGCAATACCAGTGTGTTTGAACAAGGGGGAAGGTATTATTCAAGTGCTGAGAATCATATGCCTCATGAGATTGATATCGTAACGCTAAAAACTTTAGGAAATTGGGATATGGTAAGTAGAGCATGGAATCGGCCTTTTACCAGTCATCCAAAGGTACAATAATTTTGATACATTAAAGTTGGTGAATTTGGATAGTAAAATTTCTCATTCAATTTAACATTTCGCTAGCTCCTTAATTAATAGAGTACACTGCTAAAATGATCTTTTACATTTGGCAAAAAATTTATTTTGGTCCTTTACATTAACAATTCTTTAGTTTGGTCCTTTACATATGTATTCTACACTAATTTAGACCTTTTTACTTTTTTTTTTTTTTTACTCTTTACATTTGGGGTTTCTAAGGTTGACTACTTTTGATCAAGTCAACAGGAAAAACTTTTAATTCTCATATTTTCAAAAATACTAAAAAACCAAAAATTAATTAAAATAATATGAAACATATTATATTAATTTTATAGTTTTTAAAAATAAAATTCAAAATATTATATGGATAGTGTTTTATTTTACATTAGATGTTGTGTTTAAGATAGAAAATGACACAAACAGACAAAATGGGAGGTTGGGCACACAAGCACTCAGATTTTGGATTTTTTTTTTTTTAATTTGAATTTTAATTTTTTTAATTTTTTAATGATTAATTATAGTATTAATATAATATGTTTAATAATATTTTAATCAATTTTTAGTTTTTTAGTATTTTTAAAAATTAGGAATTAAAAGTCACCAAAAATACCCCTGTTGACTAGACCAATAAATGGTCAACCCAAGAATTCCCTATAAAGGGTAAATTAGTGTAAAATACATATACAAAGGACCAAACTAATGAATTGTTAATGTAAAGTACCAATATAAATTTTTGGTGAAATGTAAAGGATCATTTGAGCAGTTTACTCTAATTAATACTACTAATAATTAACCCAATCCTGTAGAAAGCAGTTGGTACGGGCGAGCTGGTGACCGTCGGAATTGATGCTGTAAAACCTTACTTTGTTTTGGGAGTCATCTCAGGTTGGATTTTTAACATTTGATTAAAAAAATAAATAAAAATCGAACACTTATCTAATCTGGTGCCTTGATTTACATCGGTCTTTGAATTTAAGTCAATTTGTAACCATATCTTATGCAAGTACCTAATGTGTACAGCTGATGGGGAGAAACTGGTACATAAAGTGGATTTGAAATACGACAGATGCAGCGTTTGTCATGAAATTGGGATTACTCAGAGGTAACAGAAATACTAGTTCCAACTTAATTTAATTGGAGGCCTTTGTCGAACTGGAAGTTCTAGCGTCGAAATATAGTTTTTGAATATTAATTGATTCTTGGCACTAAAGTTTTCAAAGACCATTTTGATTTATACATGCCATCCTTACCACTAAACCAATGTGTCCCCGGGCAATACTTAATTATTAATGAACAAAAGAATATCAATCATTGGAAAAAACACTCACACACACTGGACATAATGTGTACAGCCGATGGGGAGAAACTGGTTCATAAAATGGATTTGAAATACGAAAGATGCAGCGCTTGTCATGATATGGGGATCATTCAGAGGTAAAGAAAACGAAGTGTCCTTGTCCAAAAATTATTAGTTTGGTACTAAGAATTTCCAAAAATTATTTTCGATCTAGAGTGTCATCCTTACCCTGATGTAGGACAAAATATATACTTCATCATCCGGCTTTATTAGAAAGCATTTAGATTTCTCCTAATTTTCATATATCATTTTTTTTTTTAATTAAAACTAAAAGTTTAAAAATACTTTTTAATAAATGGGAGAATACAATAAATATATTAAATATATTTTTTTGATTTTATTTTTAATTGATAAAATATAATAAAAAAATTTAAAACCAATCAAAATATCTTAAAATAAGAACAAAAGGAAATTCATGGATGTCTCGTATAGGATACAATAGGGGCATGGCATCCCCTAAACACAATGTGTCCCGGGCAATACTTAATTAATAAACGAAGAATCAATCATCTTCAAAGAGAGGAAAGGGAAAAACATAAAAAAAATAAAAATCAACTGGACTAGTTGGCTACTTATGAAGGTAGCCCAATCCAATCTTTCATGACATTTGATGAAAGAAAATCAAACCAACTAATGAGATTTTTGGTATAAAGCAGGTACAATGTCATTTTGGACTTTCCTCTAACACTTGATATCTCCAGACTCATGAGGGGAGGCCCGTAAGTGCTTTATATACTTCAAATCACTCAGGATCATGTGTATTACTATATTACTTTCACTACGAACTAACCCTAAGATCACAAATGGTATATTCTTGATTAATTGGCAATCCAGAATTTTCAAGTATGATAGCAATGGATTTGCAAGAATCGGAGTAATGCCTCGATATGGAGATGCTGATTCCGTCAAGTGGTTTGAGGTTGAACCATGCAGTGTATTTCATCTTGTAAATTGTTATGAGGATGGACATGAGGTACGTTGAGTTAGATATTAATGTTTATTTTTTCCCATTTAATTAGGAGGAAGAAGATTACTGAAATTTGATAAAACTTTTTTGCAATGTACATATTATTACATCTTAATTGAACATGAATGCATATATACTAATGCTAGCTATAGTGTTGAACTTAATTACAGCGTAAACTAATAAACGTATACTTATTAAAATATAACTAACTTAAGTATATGAGACAGAGAGAGTAGAAGTATAGCTATCGAAATTGTTAGTTTTTCGCAGACTAATTTTTTTAATTTGAATGTGCGGTGCTACATATATATAGGTTGTGGTCATAGGATGTAAAGCTCGTGCGACTATCATACCAGGACCTGATTTTGGACGCAACAAATATCAATGGTTTTCAAGAGGTTTCAAACCCTTAAATCTTGTGAATGAAAACGAAGAAAACTCACATGATGGATCATTGTTTACTCGTGTTCATGAATGGAGGTTGAATATGATCACTGGAGAAGTTAAGGCCATGAATCTAACTGGAGATGACTTCTCCATGGATTTCCCTTTTATCAACGAAGGTTTCACAGGTGTCAAAAACAAATATGGTTATACCCAAGTTATTGATTCTACTGCTAGCTCCACTGCAGGTATATATACATATTGACTATATTCCATTTTAATCACTTGAACAATATATCAATATTCACGATTTCTGCTTTGATCTGGCATTAGGAATTTCCAAATATGGAGGCCTTGCAAAACTTCATCTTGATGAAAGAGAAGCTCGAGTTCCTTATGTAATGCTTTTTTTTTCCCCTTAATTTATCATTGCTAGTATTTAATTCTCCCCGTCCCAAAATAAATTATTTGAGAACGAAGGGAGTAAATTATGTTAAGGAACAATGTGATACTAATGTCTGGAATTATTGCATAAATATATGTCAGGGGAAACAAACAAGTGTGGAAGTTGAGTATCACAAATTACCAGAGAATACATTTTGCACTGGAGCTGCTTTTGTGCCTAAGTTTGGAGGGCTTGAAGAAGATGATGGCTGGATCATTTCCTTCGTACACAATGAAGTCACCAACGCATCGCAGGTTCATTAGCACTCCTTCCGTCCCAGAAAATAATTCACTTTCTTGAACTAAAATATTAATATGATAGTAGTAATCTTTTTATTAGGATGATTTTTTTTTTGTTTCCCTGTGTGGTAGGCTTACATTGTTGACGCAAAGAAGTTTTCAAGTGAAGCTGTGGCCAAAATTGATATACCGAAAAGAGTTCCATATGGATTCCATGGAGCATTTATGGCACTCAACTCCAAGAAGGCAACTAAGGATTAGAAAATGACTAATGATACTGCCATCATTCCGATTTTTGTAAACATTATAATCATAGATTATGATTATTGAATTAAAGAATAATCTAAAATTAGCAGCTACACAAAGAAGTAAAAGTATCTTCGTAATAATTTTTAATAATCTATTTCCAGTAATTTTCTATAATCAAATGATCCCTCGTCTTCTGATTTAGGCACAAACAATCAAACATCGTCCCCATTGTTACTAGACTCGTTTAAAGGAGAGTCATTACTTCTGGAAGGGGAAGGGGGACGTCAAATTCAATTGGGACATTGAAGCTTGACTATCAAGAAAATATAAGAATACAAACACATTTGAAAAAAAGTAGATTCACAGGATTCATTCAGACCAAACTGATTCACAAATATATTATTCATATTCGGAGTGATTAAATTTGATTTGAAAACTAAATGCTTGAATCATATATGAATCTGTAAGAGATAAAACCGGGTCCACAAAAAAAAAAAATTGCCGGAGGCACGAGGGAATGATTCTCTATTACTTTTACTTCTTTTAATTATGAGAACTCAAGCACTAAAATTTTTTGGTGCTGATGAATTGTTAGAGATTTTGAAAAAAAATTAATAGAAAAATTGGAGAGAAAATAAAAGGAAATAGGAAATTTTGCCATAATGAGCAGAGACGGAGTGTGGAATATATAGGAATCAAAAGAAGATTGATGATGGGATTGGAGAAGATGGATTATGCGGAACGAGATGGATGGATGGAGAAGAGAATGGAGGAGTTGAGGGGCGGCGGCCTTAACTGAGAGTTGGAGTTGGAAAGGCTTATTAGTAAGGGTAGTTTAGACAACTCAAGAATCTTTTTGTTTTGGATGTTATTTTTTGTCCTGCAGTATCATTGCCCTTAGAAAATAATTGCTTGCCAATGAGCCACCCTGGTCTATATCATGAATTATATTAAAATGTAATTGTAATCTTTGAATGGTATATTGCACTGTTATTCTAATTAAACACACCTTTGTTTCATTAACAACCAACTACTTTGCAAATAGATTACCGACTTACAGCTACTCACCAAATTCATTCCTTTGGAAGTTGAGCCTCGAAAATCCATAAAATGAAATTGTACACAAAAATTGGCACATAAGAAACCAATCATACAGTTGACTCAACACGTGATTGTGCTGAAGACGTTGAATATTGAGGCATACATCCGTGATTACACAAGAATGCACCAATAACAAATAAGATCGGATTTTAAATGAGACCTGCTCGAAAGTTTTTCACTTGACCATCCGAAAGGATTGTACTAACAGAATAAGTTCCCCGAAAGATCAAATTTGCTGTGAAATTTCTCTGGAGGCATGATACCGCTTGTTGCAACAAATCTGCAAACGTACCTATACAAATATCTTTACAAACCCCATAATGTAATGCGTCTAAACCCAAATATTAGTAGCGGTTCAAGGCGAAAATATAGTGGGAGTCAGCTGTAACTACATCATTGAGAAATATAATATATATTTTAACTATTATTTAGAAAGCGTTGTTATGCTTTGAGATTTTTAACCATCTTTAAAATTGGCTGATAGCTTTTTTTGGAAAGGGTTCTGTCTATTTTGCTATGGATTTATTTCTAGAGAATAGGAAAAGAGAGCTTTTTCCTCAATAGAAAATGCAATATAAAAGAGGTAAAAAATGGATTCACATTTGGGGTGGTAGGGTTGGGTGGGGGGATAGTTACGGGTTTAGGATGCGGAGTGGTTATTCCCAGAAAGTCGGGGATTCATTCTCGTCGGGGCAATCTAATTTTATTTTAATTTTATTATTTTTTAAAAAAGTGAATTTGATAGTTTGGCCAAGTTTTTTAGGCTACGTGAAAATTAATGGGACTTGTCCGCTCAAATTTTTAGTGCGGGTGTGTTCAGGCCGACTTCCCGAAATCGGGGCAACCCGTGATGTTTGGTGTACATAAACTCAATCTCGAGTAGGCTCAATTATGTTATGGGCCTTGGGCCGAGCACAGATTAGTTTTATTTATGTGAAGTATTATAAAATTCATTTACTAATACATGACAGGGGCATTTGAACAGTCTACTTCCATACCATGGTACCAGACCTGACCCACTGATCAAATCTGGACTAACCAACTTACTAGGTCGATTCGCATAGTGCAAAACCTACAATTTAGACAAAAAAGGGGTAATAAAATCTACTTAAAACTTGTATCAAGTGATACGAAGAGTCGATTCCACAGAGACGAAAAATATCAGAGAAAATTAGGTTCCAATGTAAGTGATGCAAAGAATGAGCAAAATGTGACTTGGGCAAGTGATTTGAAGACTCGAATAAGTGGATGAAGCCTAGGGTCGTCCTCATGTCTACTCGATATGCATATAAATTGATTTTATTGCTCTCTTTATGGTATGAAACTGTGTTCAATCAGTCACAATTACACTGTAAGGTCATTTCCGATTGTTCCAAATAGAGTCTTAGTAGCAACAAGCTCACTAACTTCTGTTGTTGATTCCGGAATACTACTAAATTAAGTTCCTAAGCCGTTTTAATTGACTCGTGCCAAACAAATAACTTATGTTGTTGTTTGAAACCCTAGACTGTTACACCCTCGTCGTTGGCTAATCTTAGACGTTCTAAGTTAAGTTTATCCTTCCGGGATTTCTCTAACATGTATGCACAATTAGTTAAATAAAAACTCTAAGACTAAGCACACAAATATCATCCGATAGCTAAATCAAAATATATTTATATAGAGTTTAGGGATTAGACCATAGAAAAGAGTTTAGCTACACATGTTGAAAAGTTTAAACACAAATGAAATGAGTACAAAAGCTCCAACATGATTACATACAGAAAGGGAAAAAAAAACAGGGGAAGGTAAAGTCAGGGAGTGTGGTATAATGATAGTTTTAGAAAACAAAATAAATTAATGGACTAGGAAACTCACGTAGGCCAACTGTAAATTATAATATTGATTGGGCCTAATAATTAAACTTAAGAGATTCTTGGATTGGCAAACAAATTAAGATTTTGTAATTAAGCCGGCCCTCCCCTATCATTGACCAACTAAAGTGCATGCAAATCCCACCTATTTCTTTCTATAATTTTTAAATAAAACCTCCCTAATCCCGGCAAGCACCCTTAATGATTTCCCACATGTTCATTTTTCTTAATCCCATGCTCTCACCAGAAAACACCATCTTCCTTACTCTTAATGCCTTCCCAAATTCAGAACATCCTCTCACCTCAATCCTTATATCATCATTATTCAACAATGCAACCGAAGGCAATGATTCTAAATCAATAGAAGAAGTGGAAGAAGGATAAGAGGTAATCAATTCTAACTCTTCGTTGCTTACAATCATTAGATCGTAATGGTTTAAGGATGGAGTCCAATTAGGGAAATGTGGGAATATTACCGTAGTGTGTACGTTTGATTGATGAGTAGGATTACTAATTAGAACAAGGATATTGGGTTGTCATGTTTCATATTGCTTTTAGAGTCCCACGAGTAGAACTTGAGACTTAGTATTGAATTGCTTGGTTGATGGAATGAAGAGAAAACGAAGAGAGTGAATTTCTATTCCGATGTACATTTTTTTGAAACGCTCAGTCCTCTTATTTTTCCTTTATGTTTTTGTGTAAATTGTGTCCTCACGTGCGTCTTCTATGGACTCCAAAGGTTATATCGGTTTTTGGGTTCGTTAAATAGCATTTGCAATCCTTCAAAGTCTGATTTGAAATAGAAATGATTCATTTAGAGATTGCTGGAATTTTCAAAAATACATTTTGGGTAATCAACTTTCCCTTCCTTGTGGAAGTTACCGTCCAAATTTGATATGTTTTCAATCTCTATGGTTCATAACTCTGTTTTCAGATTGTTAAAGGGCTTACATATACTTTCCATATCCCAAAATTATTGTCCAATTTGAGATTTCACTTTTAATACAATTTGAACTAGAAATGAAAATCCAAACTGGACAATAATTATGGGACGGATGAAGTATTCGGAAGAAAAAAATAAATTAGATTATAACAAGAGATGCTCATAGATTGTTTTCTGAAAATGCAGAAAATCTTACTCATGTCTCAACAAAAATATTTGCGTCGTCACTTGTCACAACACCTAATTACTCCTCTTCGGGGGGTAAAAACAAAAAAACAAAAAAAAAAAAAAACACTAACTACTCGTTTCTTTCGTTATTATTATTATCATAAGGAATCAACGTGTCATGAGTGGATACAAATGAACGGAAGTCATGAACCCCAATCCAAAAAAGATCATGATATATCATGTGGATGGAGAAGAAGCAGTAGTTGTTATCTGGGTCAAGACTTGAGGAAATATCTAAGATAGATAGCCGCCGTATACACGTTTTTAGTGCAGTGAATTCATGTTAGTTTGTTTGGTTTCACGTATTAGTGTTTTCTCTCCCGTACAGCCTTGTCCTCAATTGTATCAGGATGACAAGTTGACGTGGTGCAACTGTTGTATTAAACATTTTATTCACAGGTGTGTATTTAAAATAAAAGCCTTGAATATTCTTTCTTACATCATTTTATATAGTTTCATGTTGCTTTTGTATTAAAGTATCCATGAAGCAACTTTGTCATTTCAAAATTACTAAATCAAATATCCTGAGTCTGTTGTTTCGGAGTGATTAGGAATGGCTACCAGCAGCGCCTACATTAATGCATTATTCCCACTTAATTCTTCTGTACCAAAGCGATTAGTTTCCTACAAAACTAATCATGCGATCAAGTCTTCACTATCTTCTTCGATTGAGGTGGCCGATTACGATCTCTCTTATCATTGATCAATTTGTTGTCCTTCCATCCTAGAAATATAATTGTATTTTCTTTTGGGACGGAAGAAATTATTATTTGCATGTGTTTTGTTAGTGATGTTGGTCATGGATTTGTATTCTATTCTGTGAGATGCATCTCAAATATTATCAGTCGAAGGATATGTTACCCTCGTTTTAATCCTTACAATTGTAT